CCATGTGTAAAGGAGAGGCCCAAGGACTGTGAGAAGGACGAATAATACCAGCAGATAGTAAATTGTCAAACTCACGTTTAGCGAAAGCTAATTTGTCCGGTGCCAGTCGGCGTGGTCTTGCCGTGACTGGTGGTCCGCGGGTGACTATGTGGTGTACCACACGATTGGTCACCGATGAAATCTCCTCGAGTGGTTTAGTTATTCTGGGGAATTTCTCGAATAAAGCGTGGAATTTATCGTCACGCGAATAAAAAGTGCCGAGGATTCGGTACGCGTACTTCGGGGTCTATTATATTAATACTGTTCTTATCGTTATCCGTCATGTCGAGTATATTATATATTAAAAATTAATATAAAAATATACGACAGACGTGGATAGATAAAACAATAGACTCACCGAATTGCCTTCTTTGGAAGATTTGACCGAGGTTGAGGCGTGTTCCAAGATTTGGCTCACCAATATGTAGCGTGGAGTCGAGTTCAGCTTGACTATGAACACCGCTACCAGACTACGTGCCAATTAACCAATAAGATCCCCGTAGGTCAATATCAGAAGACAGATGATGGCTGTAGTCGAGATGTATTTGTTGGCGATCTCGTGGTATCGAAAGAATACCGAGATCGTGCCAAAGGAGTACAAGCGTGGTTACTGAGCGTAACCGAATTCGTACAAGTTCAAAGTCAACGGGAGAGTAAGCAAGTATATTGGCTGTCATTAGCACAGTTAAACAAACGAGCACAATAAAACAATCACTGGTACAATTGGTTATAATAATAATTGTTTTTATTGAACCAATCGCGTTCTGTTGACAAAAGTAGGTCACTACACAACAATGGGTTAACCACTCCTGGCAACCTTTGGCATTTTTCTCTAGACGGTTGCTAGACACTGAATCGAGGTACAGCACATTCGGTAGGGAACTCCTAGCTATGTATTGTGCTGTCCGACATTTTCAATACTATATCGAAGGCCGTGAATTCACCATTTTTACTGATCATAAACCTCTTACCTTCTCTTTAAGCTCATCTTCAGACAAGTACTCGCCACGTGAGTATCGACAACTGGACTACATTTCGCAGTTTACTTCAGATATTTGACACAAATCTGGAGCAAACAATGTAGTTGCAGACGCCTTGTCTCGTATAAATTCCTTGAACAGTTTCCAAGGAATCGATCTTTTAAAACTCGCCCAACTTCAAAAAGAAGACAGTGATCTTCAGCTCGAGTTGTCCTCAACAACACTTAAACCGCGCATTAAACAGATGGGAATAGGTAAGGAAACATACATCAATTTACTACGTGCTATAATGTGTAGTTTCTGTTGTTGGTTGTCCTAGTGACTTCGATCCCCTATAAGCCTGTTACGGCTTAGACGATTACTAATGACTGAGTGTATTGTGAAGGTTTATCCTCCATCCGTACTGCAGTGACAATAAAATAATATTGATTCCGAACCAAACGGCTTTTTAAGCTGAATCTATTCTAACCTGTAAGTTTCACCTCTGGACTTTAAATTGTGATTTAAAAATGGTGACGATCAATGTGGAAACACTATCGAAACTTCATGGATCGATCATGCCTGTTTAATCACTTCGCCCCTACACACCTTTATATTAAATACATTGTTCTGTTGGTTAGCTTGCACTTATTCAAAGGTTCATATAGAACGTTATTCCCGTCTAGTGCGATGAAATGTGTCACGTTGAGGCTGAAGAACTACAATATATGTTCATTATCATAAATAAATTCATTTGTAATCAATCATAGACCTAAATTTATGCACTACCTTTGAAAACATCGAATGCTGTAAGTTGTATTTGATCTCCCTAGTGATGCAACAATTGTTTGTTCTCAAAGAACCTATTATTTCACAAAGGTTAAGTTGGAGTTTTATGATGAGCGTAGAAAAAAACTTAAACGTGAGTTGACCCTTCTATATTACGTTGCTACATATATCTAGTAACAATCAACTACGGGTACCTCATTAGCCACCACTGATTAACTGATATAATATCAGAGTCACCACGTTTTAGCATTCTATCGACCATGAAATCAGTGGTTGACGGTTTGATGGGATCTTGAGAACTACATTTTCGCGTCTACAACATGCACTGTAAATAATCTACGACTTCACACCTTACATAAAACGACTCACTCTCATTGTCAGTGGGCGAGTTACACCAATATTTCATGATTTTAGTATTAAAATTGGTAAAATTTCGGCTTTTAATTGCGCTGGTTAATTTTTATCTAAATTTTACGTGCTTGACTGTGTGACATTTAAGTACTGTTTACTCTTGTAGCGTTTAGTTATTAGAGCTGATATGCGTTTTCTAAGTCATAAACTGTAAGATAGTTTTAGTCCAGTAGAAATCTAAAACAGAGTGGTTGGGTAAAAAAGGATACTATATATAATCGCAAATTTAGTTATACATTATCATCGAAGCAAATATTACCACCCGGTTATTAAGACAATAGTAGTTAAAAAAATGACCAAATCTAATTAACGTGAAGTGGATTAAGTGATATAGGGTATAAGATAGTTATTAATTTCAACAAATAGACGTTTCTGATGGCGCAGGCATATCTTTCTGTCCGTTCTCGATATACCATGCACAGATTTTCAGAAGGTAATATATGACCATATAAAAATATCAAAGTAAAGATATCAAGAATTACCTGTCACTACACTGAATGTTTCCAATTCTAAAATCTGGCTTCAACTCACACTCAAAGCATGTACAATTGCAGTCATTTCAAAGAGTGCAGTCAAAAGGAGGAACGAATCAACTGCTGCTCTAAGCAAAATGTTAAACAAAATAACGTAGATATAGTTCATAAGAAACATAGAAATTTGGTTGAAATTTAATAAAAACAAACTCTGTCATAAAAAGTAAGTATTACCGTTCCAACTAGCGTCAAAAGCTCAGCGGAATGTGCAGTTGAAAAAGTCCAGAAGAGGTAATTGCAATGGTGCGCACTTGGAAGGGTTTTCATGCATAATCACGCAAAACGTCTGAAAACGGTCTTACTCTAAAACTGGTCAAATGAAACCTTTTTACGCTGCCAACATCTTTTTTTATGAATTACATGAATAAGTACCCTATTATGCAGTACTAATTAATACTCATTCGTTTCCTTTGACTTTCATTACAATGTCCTATGTAACCTTTGATGTTATACTGCTGACTAAAAATTCTTCATGAATTTTCCTGTTTTAAGCTTCAAATCAGTTTTTTCTTGGGATATATGTGTTCATTAAACATGTGTGACTAGTGCCTAAATGATATCTTTTATATCTGAAATGATCATTCTTTCCCACTTAGCCCATTCTAGAGCAAAGTATCATCTCTAGTAATCCTAAATCTGTTTTATTGGAATAAAATGGGGTAGATGTCCTTGCCCCAGTTCGTACAGTGGACTAACAGTGACATCTTAGAGGTCTCGACTCTTTTGATAATGTTGTAAGTCACGTATTCCGGTCATTAGGGATATGTTTCTCAGAAATAAGGGTACACGAATATCGATTCACATGACTGATACCGTACATAAAGGATGGCCTAAGTTTTAAGTAGTTATATTAGATCGTGTTAATGATGGCGACTGAAGTTTTACTAAGGTCGTCGTCAGACGTGTGAGGTTTTCCTACGACTAGGAAAACCTCAGTATTGAGGCCTTCAACGATCTGTAGAACTCTGTCATAGGAAAAAGTGATAGGATTAACTACACCATCATGAAATAAAACAAGTGAAGCCTGCGATTATTACAAGGGCTTAATTAGGAAATGTCGCATAATAAAACCTCCATTGACTGTTCATTAACTATTTATCTCTTTTGTTCTTTTCATTTATTTTTCCAATCCTTGTCAAGATTAAATGTTATGGAAAAGTCTGCCTTACTGTTGCCTGTCAGTTAAATCACTTTTCAGTACAACAAGCCGAAGAATTTTACACTTCCTTATGAAACCAGTACCAAACGCATTTTATGAAAAACTTATTTTTCGTCAGCGCGATGACGATAATACAACCGTCGGGAATCAAAATTGGTTGACCGTTCACAGTTACAAGTTAGCTGAGACGTGCGTTTTTAATCATGATTCAGATTTGCCATGGTATCCTGCTCACAAATAATGTCAGGGAGAAAGTTTTTCGTCCAAATTAGCACACGTATATCATGAAAATTGCATCTAGCCGCGATAACAATATATTCAAGACGTTTATTTCATCACTGAGCCTCCTAGTATTCACAGCAACTAGTGACTTGTAGGCGTCGGGAAAACAAGCTTCTAGTATGGGATATTTTTAGGATTCAGTATTGTTGTCTGTCCATCACATGTGTTGACCGACGTTTCGTTGGCTGCCTCACGCACTAATTTTCTGATTTGATAGTGGTATCGAGATGATAACGTGAGCAGATATCGTTGATCCCAGCACCAGTATCTAATAAAAATCCAATACTTAAAGACCTGTCGTAGATACGAAACAAACTTCGTGTTCAGTGCTCATGAACAATCGTCCCTACTATTGTATAGCCGGTAGGTCTTCTTAGGGCCATCCGGGGTTAGCAGCAAGGTTGGTATTAAGTTCACTTATCCCTACTACTAGGCTAATAGATTTGATGTAGTGTGGCCACCTAATCTGTCTGTGTGAAAGTCATATCATTTTCCAAACTACATCGTCGTACGTGACAGCCAGTGGTTAATGCTAAGGATTTCTTAAGAATGGATTTGGGCTGAAATAAGAATGATATGTCTGGTATAAAAAATGCTAGAGGTCACATGAAGTGATTACATTCGCATGGCCGAGCCATAACATACCAATCAAGATTCCTGCGTTAACCATATCTGTCTGTCCACCCGTTCAAAACAAAGTTAGATCGAATAAAAGACCTCCATTACAATGTTTAACACGAGACATCCGGCCTTCTTTTCTTTTCCAAACTGAAGCTGAAAATTAGGACATTGAATTTGCAAACAAGGCATTGTATATAGTACTAACACGGTGCAATTTCAAATAATATATGTGGAGGGTACTTTGGATGGATCGACTTTGGCGTTGCGTATGCAAGAGGCCAGTTATTTTCATTAAGCGTAAAAATGCGCACAACTGTTGAATCAGATTGTTGTTTGGTTTCGGTGATCGGTGTTGATAAGACAGCGATTCCCAGCAGTGAGACTGAGATTCTCCTGAATTCACAAACCGATCATGGATCTTGTTCTCCTTCGGTACAGTCATCTAGTTGCTGTTCCACAGCTCCACATCTTTCACAAGATTATCCTCTCTCTCATCAAAGTGTTTGTCATGTCAATGGAGAAAATAGCAAATGCAATGATAATGTTGGAAAGTCTGTTAGATTTTCTGGTGTTACTGTGTATTCGTTCGCACGTCAACAAGGCTTTTCATCGATTCCTGACAATGGCTGGTGCACTCTTGGTATGGCGCAAAAACATTTCAGTGTTTCTCGGCTAGACCTTCGGCAACATAGAATTTTACAGAGACTTCGACGCAGACAACAAAAATTGCTCTCCCAAAAATGTAAGGTTGTCCCCAATATATCTGGTCGCGGACGTAGCAAAAATAAGATTAAAGGAAAGGGTAAACGTGCAAATGGACTATGTAGTCGTAGTCCCGGTGATTCATGTCGTGTACCAATTTTATCACCACCTCCACCACTTTCTCCGCAAATCACCTACGACAAGGTTAATTTTGTCGATCAAACAGATAATGCAACTCTTGGTTCTTACGCTACTCCTCCTCCCCCTTGTTTGTCCCCTCCTTCACCAAGAAGGTTTCTCCACACTTTTGATGAATCCTTAGTCAACAACAATATTTATAACTCACTGGACTCTCTGGATACAGACTCTGAAGCTTCTCTTGATCATGTTCCTTCTGTAAACTCATCTAAACGTACGCAAAATAGTTCACGAGAAAAGTTGATGCCTATGCACTCAGCCGCAAGAATAAGACTTTTGAGGTCATCTGGTAAGCATTAAATTAGTGTTTATGGTTTATCTCTTGTTTATGCATGTGTTCTCTAATGATAACTTAATGTTATTATTTTAAAAATCTCATTTACGTAATATGGTTTAGTGGGGTGATTTGAGTGATCATGTCAAGTATCTGACATGGTAATAGTAGGTTTTGGCTTCACAATATTCTTAACTTGGTAAGTTTCTATTGAGGAAAATAATTGTACAATTAATATCGAGTAATTTGTCACTGCTAAAATTGATAACTTAATGTTATTATTTTAAAAATCTCATTTACGTAATATGGTTTAGTGGGGTGATTTGAGTGATCATGTCAAGTATCTGACATGGTAATAGTAGGTTTTGGCTTCACAATATTCTTAACTTGGTAAGTTTCTATTGAGGAAAATAATTGTACAATTAATATCGAGTAATTTGTCACTGCTAAAATTGAGCGATTATACGTTGTTAATACTGTTAATATATTCGTTCTACACTCATAAAGGTTTTGTGTCGAGAAAATTAATGCAACAGAAATGTGTCATTTTCTTTCCGTTGCTTTAGGTATACGAAATCTGTGAGCTAGTGATTGCACTTCGTAATCATTTGTGTTATCAAACCCTTAGTCCTATGTAACCATGGTCAGGTTTAAAACATGAATTGATTCGTTTGCTTTTCTAGTTGCAATTTTCATTTAAATGTCGAACAATCACGGGTCACACATTGATCTATTTATGGTTGTCACAGAAATGTTTATAGTCTGCTCATAAATCCCAACGGTTTAGACTAATTACATAAAATTGCGTTCAAACTGGAAACAGACTAGTGTTTTGACCACTTAGATAGGGCCCTCGAAATACGAAGGTAACTTGTGATCTACTCTTGCTTCAAGTTATAGTGTGAATTTTTCTAAAAAATATGGTTTGATATCAATTTTTACTTGAGTTTATGGATAGACTGCTGAAAAGACAGCTGAAACTTAGCCTAAAATACTCTTCAGTGTTTTGTTCATCGGTCCAGTCGGTCTTAAAGTAAGTCACTGATTCGTCTTTTTGTGTGCTAATTTCATCAAATATCGGAGATATTATTTTTGATAACTACAAAGTCTCATCAATACCTCTTCGGTCCATATTACTTTCGTTGCTCACCACTCTTCATTTGGTAAAATTAGCTTCGATTTGCGTATGAGTCGTTTTGATTTATATATGGAATCTACCAATATAAATTTATTGCTATTAGTTAGTTTGGAAACAGTTGTCATAATCAGTTTGCCCCCGTAATAAACTTATGGATATCATCCTATTGTAAATTTTATGATTTCGGTGGGACTCAGCCATTTATGTACCAATACACGGCCGAAATCATAACTTTCCCGCAAGCAACAGCAGTTTTCAATTATTTCCTGTCATAGTGATAGCTGAAAGCACTTTGATTCACTTATTGTCCTCTGGTAAGGTAGTCAGGTAGCCGGGTCAAGCGTTACTCCTTATTCCTGAAGTTGGAACTTATTCGGAACGGGTGGGAGCTAATAACTTGGTAGTAACATATGGTTTTTGTTGTTGTTTCGAAACTGAATATCACTATGGTATTTTCCTTAAATTACAAATATTCTCCACATACCTTCACTTTAGGTGTTGTGGAAATTGATGAATCCGAACGTCTCGTGTGTTCGTTTATACGGGCTATGCGCTCCCGTGTTGGTTGCAACTGTGGTCCAAAGAATTCATGTATACCTGGTCAGTGCTCATGCGCAGATGATGGAATTCCTTGTCAGGTAATTCAATCTAATTGCTTATTACTGAACCTAACCTAGTTACTTTTACTTAATAGTTAGTTTGACCTGTCATCACAGTGTTTATATGATTTATGAGTTTGGATCACATGAAAAATTATATGGGCATGTTTTTTTCCTTTATTTAAATTATTAAACACAGTAGTGTCCACATAGTGCTTATGTTAAATAATGAATTAGTTTCTTTTTTTCAATACAATATTATATTTCAACACTGTAAAAGCAAATTAGTTGTCAACAATCTGTAGGAATGTTAACCGATAAGTAGTCCATTCCTCAAGTATCATAAAGACAAAAGAAGTGTAGTGGTATTAAAGACGTAAAATACACGAAGACTAACTCGAGAGCGTTTAGTAGACTACTTTACGAAGACAATTTTATCATTATGGTAAAGTAAAGTAAAATACGTATTCTTATAATGATGATGGTAATTAGTAAAAAAGTTTATAATATTCAGCTAACATGTTTTTTAATTCAGTTTTTCTTTGTAGCTGGGTTAATATATTTTCAAGTGGAACTAACCTTATTTAGGCCAGAGACATTAATATTACTGTAATCATTGCAAATATGTATGGAGTAACAGCCCATAGATATTAGTTAAACGGTAAAACACTAATTTCGCCATTTAACTTCAACCCAATGAATCGCAGGTTAGAATTTTTGTCTCACATTCTTTGTATAAAGCTGTCTGTTAGCGCCACCAGCATTCATACAAGTATACTTCGTTTCATTACTACTACTACTATTACTATTACATTATGCAAAAATTGCTAAACATTTAAATAAGTACTTCACCTGTAACTACCTCACAATTCAACATGAACTTGATAAACTATTTTATGGTGTATTATGAGAAATATGCTGTATCATTCACATTAAACTTATACTGTAAACAGTATAACTGCATCCAATTGAATTCACTATTGACTTCCAAAATTAGTGTGGCTTTAGGATTATTTACCAACGAATAAATAAAAAAATTATCATCTCAAAAGACAACAAATATGTTTCTAACTTTTGTTCGGTATCAACTGGCATCGGATCGTAGAAGACAGATTATTAATCCGTTGTTTTTCGTTTGTTCTGTCATAATGCAGGTTGATCGAGCATCCTTTCCTTGTTCTTGTGCAGCCAATGGTTGTCGCAACCCAAATGGTCGTAATGAGTTCTCTCGTGAACAAGTTCGTACACATACTCAACATGTATTGACACGTGTAAGTTGGTAGGATATTATTATTCTGTTTTAATCCAACCTATTTAGTCGTTAGTGCGAGTTTCGTGTTCATGTATTATGATTGGGATTGAAAAAGGCTCTGTTACCTCTAATATTGTGTACTTCAGTTAATCTGGAGTAATACTAGACCTAATTGGGCAGTTTTTGGGATTAAATAGGAACACTTTGCATCCTTTAAGTGACCAATGATCTTCAATCTATGGTTGAAATGAAAGTAAACTTGATCGTGTATTGCGATTCGTAAACTGCTGTATTCAATAACGCGGAGACCTCGTCTGAACCCTTTTGTGATTCATGTATTCTTGTAACTCTAGTCAGTCATAATCAGTATAAAACCTGGTACAAATTCACATAAGCTTAAGTCCCAATATCATATCAGAACGAAATGCTAAAATCGAACTGATTAATAACAAAGGAGTTGAATTAATTGTAACAAAAATTATAGTGAGAAACACCAAGCATTAAAAATTTGGTCCGAAAAATGAATGAATTTAGCTTATGAGAAACTCAGGATTTAAAGGAAGGTAAAAAGATGTGTACCACTGTGAAAATCCGAGTCCTGTCATTGAACACTAAACGCTAATTGTGGCAAACAAATGCACCCCTACCAAATAGAGTGCATCCACCAACTTGGGCCATTTCAACAATCAATGACTTTATGGGCTGATGTCATGCTTTGTTTAAACCGCCCTTACGTTTCTCCTAACCTATTGCCATATCAAAAAACATCCCGTGTCGAGCCAGATAGTGTTTAAGGATACGTAACGCATATTTCGACCATTTCAGTCGATGATTCACAGCCTCGTCAACCGATTTGCCACATTTGACTGGTATCGTACCCCTAAACGTAACATTGCCCACGAAATGTGAATTATGCTTCAAAGGTGCCTATGATGAGAAAATTTTCATCTGCGCAGTAGCCCTGCCTCTAGTGGATACTTTGTTGCATTGAAGAATGCTGATTTTCATTCTTTATCCAAACATAGTGAGAACTTCATCGTCTATGTGAAGTCATTATGAGCTTATCTTTCATCCCAGTTTACATCAGAATTGTTCTAATTAGCTAAGACATTTTCTAAACATCAGTGTGATTGTTTCTGTGTATGCAGGTTAAACAGTATTGTTCTGTGTCACCTCTGTTATGTATGTGACGACCTTGTGCCCGCGGTCCTGCTGTTTGTACGGTAACTACTGCAATTTGCACGATACAAAGTTAAAACATTACATGTACAAATGAGGATTTGTTGGTTCCATTCGGTTTATTCATATAAATATTTCGAAGAATACTCGACCACGGAAATCATTCTCAAACTAATCAAAGTCTAACTTGAATAAAATGCTTTGTGATACTTAAACTTGTTATATGCATTGTTTTATTGTATTTTTTACACTATCATTCGTCTTGTTTTGATTTTTTTTTCTTGTTTATTTGTTGTCTATATACCATACTAATGCTTTTTTTCCATTTTCCTGCCAGTTGGCCAGTGATTATTCTGTTCAGCCTGTTAAATCTCCACTGGATATGTCAGAAGCAGTGCTTAGTACACCGAATGGTGCTTGTTCACTCTGTTTGGACTGTTCTAAAACAATGACAATGTCACCCAATAGTCCTATTTCTTTCTCCGGTAATAGATGTTGTGAGCCAGTCCAACAATTGAACTCATCTTTGGACAATCAGTTTCTGTCAACTTCGTGCACAGATGTAACACACATAAAGGACTACAATATATCTCCTATAGATACAACCGAAGAGAATTGGTCGGATCATAGTCCATGTTCCAAGCCTTTGAAAAGAAGTCGTTTAATTTCAAATCATAGCAACAGTGCTAATAATCAAGTTTTACAAAATTCTGTCGTCTCATCTCTTAGCTTTTCTGGCTCTCCATTGATGATAGATTTAGTGAGCAGTTTATTTTTTTCTGTTAATTTATTTAAACAGAAACTTGTGTATTTATACATAAACATGTTCAACTATAGAAGTGTTGTGTTATTTATATCAACAAAGGGACGAAGTCCTCGCTTTTCCATTTATATACTGTGTAACACGATATAAACAGTAATGTGTTAGGTGGTTGAAGATAGTCCCCAGAAAACCTTAGGCCTTATGTTTAGTCCTTATTGACACGTCACTTAGGCGTACCTGCAGTCTTGGAGTAGCTGATACTTCTTGACAGATTTGAACTCACATCACTCAGTTCACAGTATGAGGCGTCACCACAACTATTTGGTTCGCGTATGCCTCCGTTCATTTTCACAACTGTATTATTGTCTTTTGGTTTTGTCGCTTAACAAGCTTTCATTTTACTAAGGTTAGTTATTACTATTACTTAGTGGTTACCAAGATGAAATTAGATGGAGTAGTGATGCGGAGAAGCTGCGAACCAATGTTGTTAGAATTACTTACAGAGTAAAACATATGTTTTATTGTTAGAATTATGTGTGTATCATCTGAAATTTATCAAAAATAAAAATCAATCAAATCCATTGAAAACTGGAGATCATTTATTTATTCGATTCACATAAAATCTGGCATCACTAAGCTCCAAAAATAGTATCATAGTTTTTTCGTAAAGGCTAGAGCACTACCCGGGTGTCCATAGTGAAGCAAGTGGTTTTATTACAAGGGTACTTCCCGAACTTTGAACCCAGAAGTCCTATCTACAAAAAAGTCGAACAACATCGGGAGATTTTTTCTCATGGCAGCTGGTGACCAGAAATAAGTTCACTCTCACTAACTCCTTCAAAATCCTGAAGACTAAATATAGTTGTTTTAAATTCAGACTTCTCCAACATTCGTAAGTGAACCTTCCGTACTCATCAACTCGGTTCAATATCCGGACATTCACTTTTCATCATCTCATGTAAAAAACACCCTTCCCACGTGAAGTCAGTGAATAGGACTTTGTTGGTAGTTTATTTATTTATTTTATTTTTAACATAAGCATTTGTACAAGGAGGCAACAAATACATATGCGCCACACGAATCTCAATTGATTTGTGTGAGGGCTGTGATAGTGGCTATGAATGTAAGAGTATTTCAAGAGGGCGATCGGATTTTCCCTATTCTTAGCTGCACTAGTGAATTTAAGGAACTGTATTAATCAATAGAAAGTGATAACTAGCATGTTTCATTTTGTAACCAGTTTTAATCTCTGATAAAACTCTAGTGATAGTTTCAAATATCGGAAGGATTCTGTGAATTGTAGTCTCATCTTATGGCATCCTGTTGAAAGATTCTCACTCTACTTACCATCGTTTGTTCTTAATGTAGATAAAATCGTGCATTAATTGTAGAGTATTATGTAATTGCTCATTTTTACTCAATTGATTATCGTCTACTATTCTTCGACCTAGTCGATTTTTCGTTGAAATCGACATATTTACTCGATTCTGTCATAACGATAAAACAGATCGTTCTGGGTAACAATATAATTATATACTTTTCGAATATTAGACGTTTCTTAGTCAATCGTTAAGAGAAAAGCTGTGTGAATTATTTTATTCGTGATTACGAAATAATTTTATGTCGAAATTGACATGTAATAATCCGATAAAAGGAAATCAATGTCGGTTTTCCAGTGAAAGAATAATGGGTCTAGAACCCCAACTAAAACTATGTAAAAACATATAACAGGTTAATTCTTCACTTTTGTTTCTATTGTTGTTGACAGCATTAGACAGAAGTTATACAACTGTATGAGGCCGGTCATATAAGATTTCTGTAAGTGGTTTTTGGTGAGGTAGCTTACATTTAACATCTTGGCACTTGCACGGTAGTCCGCGTAGTAAGTTTAGGTGCACTATTTTTAATGGAAACGTTTACTAAATCCGCGTTGTGTAAATGCACGGTTGCTGTATATGGTGATCTATGGAAACAGCTTACCGACTTCGCATCCCAGCGCAGTTAGCAGTGAGATTTCACCTCCGAACCATAAATTTATAGCTTTTATTCCTACCGCTCTCCAATTGACCTGAAAGCATGATAGGTCATAAAGGAATGGGTGTCTTAGTCAATGTACCTCGATTGGATTATCACGATATGCAAGCCCGATCACCACATCAAGGTAAAAGCTACAAACGTAGACTAAACGTCTATCAGGTCAACCCTAGCTTCCAATAGTTTCACGACTGATAACGGTTTCTGATTGTGATGAATCTCCATCGACAACGTATCTGAATTTATTAGTAATTAATCTTTTCATATCATTCATTTTTTGATTTGATGAAATATTCCCACCACCTGTTTCTTATAAGTAGAGTGTGGTTATTTTTTTAAAAATTGCCATTCTAGACCTTGTCACCAGATGAAAAATCACCCAATAACACTCCAAAATCTACCCATGATCGGAATCGATTGATAAATGATGAACAAACACCTCTTAGTAAACAATCAGGTCCGATGTATATTTCAAAAGTTCCACTTACAGAGTATGCCTCACCAGATGATAATTGTATTCCAACTAGTGATATTCCCGAAACACCTAGATTATGTTTTACAAATGGAATCTCAAACGATGATTCATTATCTGATATTTCAATAATTAATAACAATAATAATATCAATAAGGATTCTCAATCTGTGACAATAATTATTCATCGACGAAGATCACGTTCAGCTGATACCACAGGATCATGTGACGGTGATAATTTTCCCATGGAGATGAGAAATAATCATTCAAAAAATACTAATAGCATTCTTAACCATATCTTGTCACTAGATTCTGTTGTTCGCGATGTGACTAAGCCCAGCTCAAGTGTTAAGCAATCATCTCAAGTTCCCAATGAGTTTGAGTATGCAAAATCAAATACTTGTTGGCCTGTTACTTCTATTATGAATGTTGATAATAAAGGTGAGTTGTTTAATGATTGTTGTTATGCTATTATTTTATCTCGTTTTCATGTGTTTTCATCCACACTAATATTTTCCTATGCAATTCACTAAGCACAAATTCCTGTACATAGGACTTTGAGCCACATTTATGCATGATAGCTAGTGAAACTACCCAGTTGCTTGAACTGGAATACATGAAACTGGATTCGGATCTGTAACCTGTCAGTTGGATTCCATTAGCCATAATCCAAATTGTCCAAATCACTTTTAATATTCTTTTCTTTAAAATGATTTTTCAGTGTGTAGATTCCACATAATTCATTATTTTTCATGTCATTGGTTATATTTATATTGTTTTTTTTAAAGCTGTGATCACCGGGTTAGTAACAATGAGGTTAGACGCAGGGTATTAGGAAATGATGATGGTGAATCATTTGATGAGGTTGTGAATCTTCATCGACTGAGATGGTTGGTCCACGTGTTACGTATGCCTGAACACCGATTACCACGACGCGTAATGTTGACTAGTGTTGGAGATGGTTGGAAGAAAGTTAGGGCTGGCTAAACCATAACGTGTCATCAGTCCACAAAGTCACTAACTTCGGTGTGAGCCACGTTGGTAGATGCAGACTGACTGGTTGGGGTTCACACGACTTTCGTAACCAATGGTCGGAAACTTTTGGTGACATGGTTCAGAATCGATCACAGTGGCGTAAGTGTGTACACTCTCTATCTTCCCTTAAACCATGAGATTAAAATGGCTTTATATCTTAATTTCTACCAACTAATTCTCTCTTCCTGTAGTATTATGTCCTTCAGTCTAACGCTCTCCCAACTGAGCTATTCCGGCGACACTGAACTATTCCTGCTTCGGTTTGGGTACCCGGGCAGTATCACAGCCCTCACACATATCCAATGAGATCTGTGTGGAGCATATGTATTTGGTGTCTTCTTGTAGCAACATCTATGTGTTAAAATAAATAAATAACTATGTCCTTATACACAATCTTTCTTTTATATATTATCACCACTGAATTAACTACTTTTATGAATTCGATATTGATCATGTTGTGCTCATGTGGTGTGGCAACTTGGACCGATGGATATATGCGACTGGTCCTACGTTGTAGCTGACTGACTGTTTGCAGTTGTTAGGAAACGGGTATCAGGTAAGGGTAGCAAATCAATTGATTAAGTAGTGAAATTTCATCAGCTGAAATGGCTGGGACATTTTTTTATTTGAACACATAAATATTGGTACAAGGGGGCACCAAATATATATGCACCACACAAATTTTCATTTTATTTGTGTGTGGGCTGTGATACTACTCAGGTGCCCAGACCGAAGCAGGTGGTTTTCTTAAGGGGGCGACACTCCGAGCCTTTGACCTGGACGTCTGACCCATAAGGCAGTGGAGCATCGTAAGGAGATGCAGTCTCATGGTAGACGGTGACAAACGATTGGTTCATACTTCATTTGTTCCTTCAGGATACTGGAGCCAGCCCATGTGCACCATTGGTTTGGGATCCAATTAAAGCGCCGAACATTCGCTTTTCGTCCTCTCATTTTCGTAAACAACACCCGTTGTGCGAGAAGGCAGTGAGTAGGACTTCCGTGGCAGAGGCTATATACGCGTGACCATGTGAGAGCATTTCGATGGGGAGGGTGGGCCCACCCTATTCTCGGCCATCTCAGGGCATTCGGGGGCTTTTATGTATGCCCAACCATCAACTGCTCCGACGTGCGATGTTTTATGGTGTAGGAGTAGGTTGGAAGAAAAATAGGGGCGGCCACACCAAAACATGGCACAAATCCATGAAGTCACTGACAAGTGGACTGGGCCATGTTGGTAGGTGTAGACTACCTGGTTGGGATCCGCAAGATGATTGCAACCGATAGTTAGAGACCTTGAATGACATGGCTCAAAATCGTTTTCAATGGCGTAGGTGCATCTACTCATTGTGTTCTCCCAAATTTCTAATCTTCTGAATTCTTCATGTCCCTTGTTGTTTCTCCCTCCAAATTTATTTCACTGTATTCTACTCCTTGAATAACATTTTCAAACTTAATGCTTCCGATGACTGCCTGTACTTTCACTACCTCTACCACTATGGGGTTTGAATCGATAACTGCACCTCTGTGTTGATGTGGTATGGCAGCTCGAACTGATGTACGTACGTACGAAGTTCTACGTTGTTGCTGACTGAGTAACATTTTATTATTATTATCAAACTTATAATTGTTTTCTCTATTCTTCTATTTTTCATATTATAGATTGTCATTTGTCAAAATCAGCACCAAATAGTCCATGTTTACAAAAAAATGATTTTCCATATGGTAGAATTTCTTTACGTCGTCGTGCTATTCCACGTACTCCAATAATAACACCATCTAGAAAAGTATTAACACAATCTAATAATCGTTTTCATAAACAATTAAATTTATTATCAACTTCTAGTAATAAATCAAATTCATTCATTACTGATAATCTATCAACATCTAGTTTACAGCCTTGTTATAATGACAATACTAACAGCAGTAGCAACAACAACAACAACAACAATAGTAATAATAATCTAATCACTGAAATTCCTTCACAACTATCATCAGCAGCAGCGGCAGCAACTTCACCTAGTGACGTGAAAATTCAGTCCATTGTATATTAATCATTGTTATTCTTGAGTATATTGAACAGATAATATATGTACAAAGACTGTTAGCATTTTTTTTTCTACATTTTCATTTCTATCTTGTACTTCACATTGTATTTTACTTGTGTGAATATTAGAAAAAAAAAGATGATAATAATTAATATCAGCAGGGGTTTCTTTGTGGATATTGTTAGTTCTTTCAATAGTTGAAATCATAAGTTAATTAAAGTCAGATCACCATGGAAAACTTGAAAGTACTGTAGTCCTACAATAGAACAAAATAACCGTCCAGTGCTTCGAAATATTCCATAAATAGTCTAGTTTCAATTAACTTATATTCTCAACTATTGAAATTACATAATGATTACCTTAAAGAATTATTAAAACAATATTCATAGTTATCTAATTGATTTTCTTTTATTTATTTAATTATTAATAATAGTAATATTTTTCGGGGGGGGGGGAAGAGGAAAATAAAGAGGCAATGAGAATGTATCCGATTACATGTTTATTGATAATCTTCAATTCTCTTTCTATTTCACCATATTTTTTCATTCTTATAGACTAAATTAATTATAATCATAAGTAAATACAATAAAAAAAAGTCTTGTCCTTTTCTTTCTATTGCTTTATTGAATGGTACTTTTTCGTTGAAACACCTTTGTTAAGAACATTCAACGTTCATCCACATCAATCCCTTGTTCGAGTCCTGCCTTATTTCTTTCGATTTGATCGATCGGATAGTAGTTTGTTAGTTTTCCTAATAAGAGTATAACTAATATTTAAATAATCAGGAAATAAGTTAGTTTTTCTTTTTGAATTTTCTCTTTCTTTTTTTTTCTTCGTATTTTCTGTAAATTTTTTCTCTTTTTTTTTGTATGTAATTTCTATGTGTTTTTTCTTTTAAATTTTAATTTCGAATTTCTCTTCTCCTATTTTCTTTATTCAGTTTATCTCTTTTTAGTTTTCTTTTTTTTTTTTAAGTTTCTAATGACTTAGTATGAGTTTCTTTCTTATATTATCAAATTGTTTATTTCATTATCTAATCATATTATAGATTGAATACTTGTAATATAAAGTTGATGTGTAGTTTTCTATTGTATATTATATACATTTATCTATGCATAGATACTTACACATAGTAACTCTAAACATATGGTGATTAGTAATAAAAGAAATTATTCTATCGTCTTCTTATTCTTCTTCTTCTTTTAATAGTAACTAAATTTTTACAGTTACTATTTGTATCTTTAATGGATTCATTTATATTGGTATGTATGTGGTATATATTTATTTAAGTTGGGTATATGAGTATGATAAAGGTGTAATTGAATGATAATTCAGTAGTTGAAGAACTAGACTTTCAATCTCTACGTCGCGATTTCTAATCTCATTAGATTGTACCATTAACTGACTTAAAGCCAGTTACACAAATTTCCACTTGGCAAATGAGTCTAATTAATTACTAGTATTATAAAATTGGATAGTGTAGAAGATAATAACTCGGAGTTATCTCCAATGGATAGTTTTAGTTTGTGTATTAGGTGAAATCTAATTTTATGATTGTCTATCTATACAGGGAGTTTGCAGTGATTATTGAATGTGATTAATATGACGAACCGATTTAAATTAAAAAGTATAATCACTGAAAAGCTGTTTTATCCTAGTATAGAACTCATCAACACTATTCATTCATTTTGATCCCACTGTAAATGTTTACTCTTTGAACCACTGGACCAGCATGTAAAAATTTACATGTCTAACTTCAACCTTCAATCAATTCATGACATTTCATATCTCCCTGTACCATTCTTCTCTAGTAAGATAAACAGTCAACATGATTAATTTGTTGTTGAATGGAGGTTTGTTAATGTACTTCTTCCTGATGATCGATATTAAGTTTTCTAATGTTTATTTTCATATTGTGATAAAAAGTCAAACATTAGATCGTGAAGATGTCAATTGATCATACATATAAGGTTTCGTTATACCATTGAATTCATAAATCAAAGAAATGTTATCTCAACCCAATATCTTACTAGATGTTCAAATTACTTGTTAGTAGTACTGCATAAAAGTATTGTTTAGTGATAATAATTCAAAATCTTCAGTATGTTTAAGCCGATATTCTAGTAAATATGAATTGGATTGATATAATAATATTTGGATTATACATATTTTGCCTATTTCATCAATTAAGTAGTATAGTCAGATAGATAATTAACTATTCAATGTCTAATTTCGTTACATATATCATGATCTATCTTGTCAAGCTTGTACGTACTGATTCCTTTTAGCTTATCAAAACCCTCGTGTTGCCTGTAATACTTTAATTGAGCTATTGGACTGATCCATTAATGAATTTATGACAAACTATGATATCAATTGAATGGATATACTTTAAAGTCGGTTATGGTAGCGTAGATACAATCACTCTTTCTTTTCATTTCATCTTATTGAATTAAATTCACAATATTTAATCTTCTTTATTATCATTGCTACTACATGATTTCAATCTGTTGTACTATTCATCTTGTTAGTTATGTGTCGGTATTTTAGTTTAGTCTGGGAACTTGAACTAACTCGAATTTGGTATTAACCTCTTAGTTCATTATAATGAATTGACTGAAAACCAACCTTGTTCATTAAATATTACCAAACTATATTGACTTCTATTATTGATTTATAAAGCATTCTAAAGTTCATTATATTTAGATTATTTTATTCCATCACAATGTTTATTCAATTATCATTATTGTGAGATGTATATAGAGCTACTTGTAGAGATAGTATACGTGACTTTGAAGTTGTAGCATATCTACTTGTTACTGTTCAATATGTGAGTTTATGTAATGCACATAAGAGGACAGTTTTTACTGAGAATTTCATTTCAAGGTCTAAATTATATGTTGGGATGGTCTACAGTGGTGTGTTTACAGAAGACATATGTAGATAGGTTGAGATGATTAAAATGTAGTTACTAGTGTAAACTGCACTTGTATGCAGAAATGACGCAAAAAAAATGAACGGAAAAATGCTCTTAAATTCTATATTGCAGTTTTATTGAAGATTAAAAAAAGGATGCTATTTCCCGTACCTTGTGCAATCATGCATCATCTATTGACTTTACAACATAGTTTTGAAATTCCGTGGTTCCATCACTCGTCGGGTCATAGGTTCGCAATATTGAATAGCTTGATCCTAAGACGAAGCAAATGTCTATTAAAACTTAGTCATTTTTATTAAGATCAGTCCATAATTCAATAGTCTTCATATGTACCTTATCGTCATAACACATGTGAATACTAGTAACTAATTTCGAGTGGTAATTCACAGATTTCTAATGGAACTCCCTAATTATGTAGTGTAAGACAGATAATCACTAGTGACATTGAAAAATAGTTATGCAGTGTCGCAAATTGATTAAAGTTAGAAATACAAACTACTGGATACCGACTTAGTGTCTCTTACCAATCTATTAAATCTTGTGAATTTACTCTACCTATGACATAGTGGGTTACTTGTCTTAGTTCAATATATTTTCTATAATTTGTATCCCCTCAGTTAAACATAAATTATTATTGTTACTGAGAGAATATTAAGATTTTGTATCCATTTCAGGTCGTTTTTGTTAATGGTCTTCATGGATTCTCCCAACGTCAATAATAAGCAGATCTGGCCATTAGTGGGTGTTAATTCAGACGACGAAGCATTTTGGGATGATAAAGATTTAATTGCTGAATATGATAGAATTGAATCTCTTGTTCAGGTAAACAATTTTCCATTTCTATATTGACGATATGTTTTTATAGAGTTGTTTATTTTCAATCACGTTTTTTTGTTGTCGTCACGATAATAACGCATTATCTATGGAATTTATTCATCAAGTATATGTTTGTATATTTGAACCTTTGGGGGACTTAATCTCTGTGTGAAGGTTAGCAATGCTGCCTCATTTACCTAAATTCATATGGGTAGAGTAGAGTGCAACTCAAATCTGCTATAATTGAAGAGATCACAAGTTTTCCTAATTTGCGAACAGAACGAATACTCAGTGATACAATGATCAAATCAGCTAATTATTCCGATACGTCCCAGCCCCTCTGATTAGAGAGAGAAGTTTAAGTTCAGAAAAGGGAAATATATTCTGCAAGCAGCCAGAAGCACGAACGACAACAAAAAGCATAACTCAAGAGTATATATAAAGCATAAAAATGTCCTTGGGAAACGATACAAAATAGCATATTAAAAGAGACAACGAACCAATGACATTTAAACTCCTCCCAAGCGGGAAATACTACATGAAGGTGAAAAAAGGTGCCTTTGACGCGAAAACAAGAAATTCAAATTAACGAAATAAAATTGCAAAACTAAGACATTTATTAAGTGAGTTCTGAGGATTTGACATTCCTACCTCCATATGCCTTGCTACAGCCGAGAGTAAGGAAAGTCAGCTCTCCTTCTCAAAATGCTTTCAAGTGGCTGCATGCATACAACCACTGACAGGAAGGTCCTACTTACTGCGTTCTTGCAAAACGGGTGTTATTTACGAAATCGAGAGGACGAAAAGCGAATGTCCGGTAGAGGATTTAACCGGATTGGTGGATATGGAGGATCCACCTAGGGGAGTTGGAAAACCTTGATTCCAAACCACTGGTACACATGGGCTCCAGTATCCTGAGGTAACATATGGCATATGAACCTATTTTTGGTCACTGGCTACCATGAGACTGCATCTTCTAATGTTTCCCCACTGCCTTGTGGATTAGACCCTTAGATCAAAAACTCGGGTTGTGAACCCCTAAGAAAACCACTTTCTTCGGTCTGGGCACCCACTCAGTATTCCAGCTCTCACATAATTCGAATGATTTATGTGGCGCATATCTATTTGGTGCCTCCTTCTACCAATGTTTATATGTCTAAATAAATAAAATAAAATAATTTAACATTCTCAACAAAACCTACAGTCTGGTTTGAGCCATGTTGGTAGATGCAGACAACTTGGTTGAGGTACGCGCGACTTCGTAACCAATAGTTGGAGACTGTGTGACATGGCTCAGAATCAATCACAATGACGCAGTTGTATACACTCTCTATCTTCCCTTAAACTAAGAGATTAAAATCGCTTCATATCTTTCTTTCTACGAACTAATTCTTTCTTCCCGTACTATCTCCTTATACACAATCTTTCTTCTATATATTACCACCACTGAATTAACTACTTCTATGAATCCGGTGTTCATCTTGTTGTGCTAATGCGGTATGGCAACTTGGGTCGATGCACATATGTGCCTGGTCCTACGTTGTAGCTGACTAACTGACAGTCTAATAGTTAAAAATCGAATGCTTTCACCCTTTAGTCATCATTCTACTTACTTTTTTTGTAAATTACAGACATCTTTTGAAGTCTTTCATTTTAAAATCTAAATTAAATATCATAGTCATCTTTTTGCACGTACAAATGAAACATATGATTCAAAAGTATTAGGTGTTACTTTGATTCAAATAAAGATGTATCATTGGTAAATGACCAAATATAATTGATGAGTTTTGTTATTGAACTTGAACTAGTTTATAGCATAATTACATCACATATTACTTGGCTGATAGAATTCTGTTTATATTGTGAAATGGCCAAAAGTTTAATTTGATTTATCAACAACTTGATCTTATTGTTATGACCCACTGTCTAATATCATATGATGAAAACGCTATTCGGAATCCTTTTACATCACCAATAACTTTGAGTCAACAGCTGATTTCTAAAACTGGTTCACGATTCTCTAACTTCTCTTTCCTTTGTATTGGAGTCGATGAATCAATAATTAACCCATACAACACGAATATTATACTTCAAATATATATATAGTTCATATACAGACATACCCGACCATATCATACCTTAAAATGAAAATTATTAATTAGACATGATCAAGCGTCTGGGAATAGGGAAGATTGTAAATAACAAACTGACAACAGATTAACGATAGTAAATCATATAATCATAGTTAGTGTGTCAATCGAAAGATCATGACAAAAAGAATATAATAGTAATCCTTAAATTAATCTTAGAAGCTACCATTCCTTCAACCTTCGTCGAATATAATACTCAGGTAACGCTTGCTTCAACGCAGTTTTAGCTAAACTAGTAATAGATTATAAGATAGCTAGTTGTAGGCAAATCATAACATGACATAGATCTATCAAGTGATTGATTATTGAACTGATTCTTGTAAGTGGATACAGACCATTTGTTCAGAGTCAAGCTAGATTGATTGATTTCTGTTATTTCTTCATTCATACCTCCTATCCAAAGTTTATTCTCAATGTTTAGTCCTTTTCGTAATTATTTTTATTATCGCCACTCCATTATTTCAACGCTTTTGCTATTCATGTTGTCAGTTTCTTGTCGAGCTAATGTAGTACGGAAACTTAAGTGGATATACAACACTTGTACTAGGCTTTAATTGTTTACAACTAACTTGTTCACTTTTTTTAAGGTGCAAATTCATCCTTAAATTGTTTTGGTATTTTTCATGTTTGTTTTATTTTTTAGGATAAATTAACAAGAGAACTGGATAAAAATGCAAAACGCAAGTCCTCTGGCATCAGTGGCAGTTTCCATAAAAATTTAAATAAACATTCATCCAGTACGTGTAGTACCTCGAAGGTTTGTTACGTTTCATTGAATTATATTTTGCGATATATATATGCCAATCGCTTTCTGTTCCCTTTCTTTCCTTCTCGATCTTCTACTGAAATACATTCTATTCCTGAGCATCGTTATATACTAATGAGGATTTAAGTAGCTCACACCACACGTCCTCCCTTTAAAGCAGTCGTTCTTGTGATGGTGCCCCCAAGTGCCCTGGTACGACCGAGAGTGGGGAGAGTCCGCTCTCCCTCTCGAAATGCTCTCACATGGACACGTGTATATAGCCTCTGCCAGGGAAGTCCTACTCACTGCCTTCTCGTGACGGGGGTGTTGTTTACGAAAATGAGAGGACGAAAAGTGAATATCCGGCTCTTTAACCGTATCCCAAACCAATGGTGCACATGGGCTCCAGTATACTGAAGGAACAAATGGTGTATGAACCAATCGTTGGCCACCGGCTACCATGAGACTGCATCTCCTTACGATGCTCCACTGCCTTGTGGGTCAGACGTTCAGGTCAAAGGCTCGGAGTGTCGCCCCCTTAAGAAAACCACCTGCTTCGGTCTGGGCACCTGAGCAGTATCACAGCCCACACACAAATAAAATGAAAATTTGTGTGGTGCATATATATTTGGTGCATCCTTGTACCAATACCTATGTGCTAAAATAAATAAATCTTGTGATGGTTCTGCTCGCCGTGCTACATTCTTCTTTTCTGCAGTCTGTGCCACGCTCGCAGTCAAAATATCGAGTCTGCGGCACGCTAACTCTCATGGTTCCGTCGACCTCAGACCCAGGCCCGCAACAGCGTCCGCAGAACAGAACCCTTTCCCCCTCCTGGTTGGCAGCGACACCAGATGTACCTACACAAAGACTCATACATGCATATGTCGCATAGAAGTTTGAGTCATATTTAACCAATGACATATCTCGTACTCGACTCTGATAGTCAGTTCGGCTTGCGTGTAGAATGCTTATGCATCAGTTTCAGAATCGGACATCGCATAACAACAATTTTCTACAATTATTTATATAATTATCTTTTAAACATTTAGGCTACATAAGAAAATGAAGCCTAATCTTAGCCAATAGCATGCACTTATCATTTGGCTAGTACATAAATACCATATTATATATATATATATATATATATATATATATATATATATATATTGCGATTCCGTAAGTTAACAAGCTTTAATATTGCACCCAAATTTTGTGATTGATAAATTTGAATAAAACAAAATTAAAGAACCAACATGGAAGACTATCGTTGTGTATTTTCGTTATCCAGGTGCACCATACCAAAGTTGTTCATGGAGAAAATACCGGCTTAGTGAATATTCAGCCACCCATTGTCAACAGCAATCCAGTTTGTGATTTCCAGTGGATTCCGCCGTGTTTAAATCCTCCACCTCAATTATTTTCTCATTTGGCTTCATCAAGGTATTTTGTGCAAATCTCTATTTCGTTCAACCAATTATTGTATTTTATGTTCAAATTAACTTTTGTAAACCTTTCGATGACTGTTTAGTGAAACACCCATTTCACTGAACTAAATATAGGGCTCACCCAAACAAGTTCTATTCTGTTTCATATAGTAAATAACGACCTGTTTATAATGTCAATTTGAATATTATTAAGACATTGATTGAAACTTGTAAACATGATTTTGAATTTTTCAGAGATCTAACTAGTGCTTTCAAATTAGATTTGTAAACAACAACATAAGTGCTGATAGACATCATTGCTCAGAGAAATACTCTCTGACATATAAACCTCTACTTAAATCATTTGTTAGTCATAAGTGCCTAGTTTCCACTATAACATTTCGTGAACATTTTCCTCTTCCATAATATACCTGTGTCAGCCAATTTTATTGTCTTCTATTTACCATAAGTGAAGGTGACAAACTGTTTGTTAGAATACTGTCGAAATGGTGACCGATCAGATAATGGCGAATTCTATTGTGCTAGTCTAAAACAAAAGCTATCAAGGACCTTCTTATTAGTTAGAATTACATTTTGCTGACATTTCTTTATTTAGATTTCCTATTGATCACAACTTGTTGACCAACTTATTAACTCAAATCATATCAAGCTTAATGAGGAAGCTAACTAATGGAGTTGAAATTCAGTCTTTTTTAGTGCCACTTTTGTGTTATGTGACAATGTTTTTCAACTTACATATTCTCGCGAAGAATGTTGCTTTAAAATAACTAGTGTTTTCATTAGTTCTAACGAATTACAGCATATCAACTTCATATATTGACGATTCGAACACTCAAAAATGAATTCGCAGTTCCTATACCGTGCTACAGTCTGATATATTCTACACGGATAAGCATTAATCGACACAAAGATGTAGAAATAATTGTTTACAGCTATAAAACAATTTTGTAGTTTCACACCCTGAGCTCTTCTAAAATCATTATCTCAGCCATAAACGAAGCGGAAATCAAATAACCACATGGAAAATTATTTCTGAAGTCCGTAATTAAGATAAGGAATGTGCGAGTCTTCATTATTGTTACTGACCACTAGGAATAGTATTTACAACTTTGATTACGATTCACATTCGTTTGATGGATTGGAAGGGAGGAATTACCTCTTCCAATCGTCTAGTTTGATAGAAAATAGCTTCATAGGAAAATGTATTTGTCACATTGTCATGTTTTGCTGAAACGAAGTATTTTTTCACGCCCACTTGGTAAAGTTATCTAAAAAGCTAGTGTATACTAGTAGTACAGAATTATCGTATGTTTATTGTCTTTTGAAACGTTTGTTATACAAATTTCTAATTCTCTGTTTTCACTCATGTAGGAACAGTCATCTTCCTAGTGACGTGCGACCTTCCGTTTCTCCTCAATCAGTTTTTAATAGAACGGAAAGTGGCCTATCAACTATTGAACCTATACTACGCTCTTGGTATGAAGCAGGTTACAAACTTGGTCGTTCACATGCTATGAAGTTGAAGTCAGCGTCATCTGTACCTGCTGCAAATTCCAATTAAGATTGTTTTAAACTGGACATGTACTGCTTCACGTATTTTCGCACAATACTTCAGATTATTAATAAAATCATTATTTTTATTTGTATCAAGTGATAATTGTTAGTCGGAGTTGAGTAAATTCCGTTACAAGGTCTCTGGATCATAAACTTCTTGATTTATCTTTTTGTTCAGTATAATGCTTGAAGTGATAAAAATTGGTTTTGGCTAGTTGGTGGTCACCTACTTTTCTCTTCTTGTTTGAACTTTTATTTCGGCACTTAGTAGGGACATGCAGTGCTTTACCTACAAGTGTTCACTTGCGACCGTCTAATATTGGCTGGAAACACATCTATTGTGATTATACTAATATTTTCGAGGATGTGCCATGGTTATTTATATTCCAAGATACTTTACAGACGGGACTAATAAAAAGAAGTTCTATTTCTGATAGCATATGTAGCTAACTCTTATTTAAGGTGACGGAGAGTAGTCCATGATCATGTGTCGATATGTGGTAATACACAACTACGTCTTATATTTGTTTCGGTTATTCCATTTATTCTGACATTCAGAAACGGTTGTCACTTTCTCACATGTGCTTTTGAACGATCTCAATACTTGTGCGCATGAGATGATATTTGTTTCCATCCAATTTACATAATGTTCACCTGAACTATAGCAACCGAGCCATCGTATTACTTGCTGGGTCAATAGATTACTGGATCTCGAGGTTTTATGTGTTCGCTGCTTTTGTAACACTGAATGCAAGCGCAGTTGAACTATGTATGTTTAAAATTCGATTAGTAGTGGATTTAACAATACTTTGTACTGTGTACACTTAGAATCGAAAGACTGCTATCACTTAACTAGTTGATAGCGTACGTTACAATGGTGGTTATGCTCGTTAACGCCAGTAGCTGAATAACATGATATTTTGGAAATACAGACTTTGAACAAAGACAGAAACAACACGAAAAGTTCTCTTTGAATAAAGCAAGTATTGCAGCCTCACTCTGCCTAGGATGAAATCTTACCTTAAATACTGACAAAGGATGATGTACAAAAGTTATGTGCTGGTTTAGTTATAGTTATCTTCATGTCTGGGTCCATGGAGTGTGGTGAAGATACTCTAAATAACATATGTGTAGATTTACCGAACTAAGTAACGTCCTTTCTGGATTGGTCCCATGGATTACGAAGGGTACTCTAACGCTTAATAATACAAAAGTTCGCATCTCTGTAGGCTAGGAATATTTGTAGTCAGACATGCATGGTCTAAATACACTTTGATAGTCTCACTCTATGCACTCTGAATACCCTTCAGACTTTCCTCATTTATTTTTGCTTTTTCGCACATCTCATTGATAAGTTTTATGATATCTTCATCTAATTATGAAGTTTATGTAACTGTCAATCAAAGATCCCAAGGAATAAAAACTTCAGCATCCCTGCAAAGAAAATACAACTTTGAAACCTATGAAGACGAAATTTAAGTACTTTCATAAGTTCTGACAAAAACACATTAACGTTAGCCAATTGCTTTGGTCTAAATCATAAATTGTCTGACGACAGATTGTATTGACAACACATGGAGACATTAATTAGCATATGTTGAGTCTCCAAACAGAAATTTATCCTTGATAATGCTATTTTCATCCTTTTTAAAGCTGATTATCTACAGTCCACAAGTTTTTATCATGCTCTTTATCAGAATTTATAAAGTTTGTTTTAGTTCTTCAAAGTCTTAGGTCGTAGTTGAGGCAAAGTCTTAAAATGGTATCAACCAAGTGTTTGACTTCTTAGCAGAATGGTGGAAGAGAAGCTGCAAGGTTATATGCGTTTGTTTGCCTCTTACTGCTCAGAGACAAATGCTGTCAAATGTAAGGAAGATGATTTACAGTTTTTGAGAGCAAACGTCAAAAAAATCAGCTCACTGTTATCTTCGAGTAGTGTTACACTATTTTGAGAGGATTATTTATTATTCTTACTATAGATAAATGTCGGAAAATCCTTTTTGAACATGAATCTCACGTTAATGATCTGGCTTTCGCACTACAAGTATCATACTAATACTACACTTATTCTTAGTTTCTCAACGACAGGGTCCTTAGGACACAAATTGTACTGATTCTTTTCAAACTGGTGAAAAAATCCAGTAAGTTTGATATTTTTTGGTACAAACTACTGAAAGTAGATTAAACATTTTTATGCTTATGGAAACGAATAACGATTACTTAAGTTTCATCTTACACAATTAACAGGTTTGCATTTTATAATGTGTCGTAAAAGCTCCTTCACTGTTTTTCTGAATACCTTATCTTTTATACTATTCTCCCTTGTTTATTATTTTAGTTTATACATCGACGTTGTGTCGATACTCTTCATACTTAGTTTGTGGTCCACACCCAAGTAATTTGTGAATGAGATAATTTCACTGTAGTTTTCGCATCATATATATTGTTTTTCACACATGAAATAATTAGTCAGTCTCAATTTACCATATATTTAGTATTATGCTTCCACCTTTTTCATTTCTCATGACTCAAGATTTGTGGGGTTTCTAACTTTCCACTTTCATGTCAATTATTCAGTCATGTGAAAGAATCTTCGTTCCACTCTTAAGTGGACTCATATACATGTTTTGTATACGTTTATGAAAAACCACGTTCCTACAGTCATTTGTTCAGTACCGCTTTTTAGTTGAATGAACCACTAGTTTTTACTATACATAATAACGTTTGCTTTTAATGCACTTTCACACGAGCTGATAAACAGTACTATAGAACTTTGTGGGTTTTCGTTTCAGAAGGAAAACATTCTCCAACATGTCATTCACTAATTATTTAAATCAATACTAGTATGCATTTGCACACTTATTATGTAACTGAAATTTCTCGGATCGCCTCGTAAGTCTCAGTTTGAGGTGATTGTGACTTATTTAATTTTCTTTCTCTAGACAGCATGTTTTTCCGTCTTTTATCTGGAAGCATAGAAATCTTCAGTAGTTTTTTGCTTCAGTATATATCTTCGTTTAACAAATATATCAACTTTTGTTCAGACATATATAGGTCTTAATATTTTTGCCGGATATCAGGGTTTATATTAGCCATCATATAGAGTTATTTATTCCAAATTTGATTGAATACTGTCCAGTTAATCGGTACCATGTTAAATGACAAATTTATTTTTAAGGATTACATAACAAATAAATATCAATTCATGTCTGCTCAAAGATTGTCTTTAACGGGTGAACACTGTTGGATTAGTCTAATTCATCTCAAAACTCTCCAGTAATATATACCTTTAATATAACGTTGAACTTAGTGCTGTCATGTTCTTTGAAGAGCTCTTTTATTTTGTCGAATTGAATTGGGACAAAGTGATTTCATTGATTTCTTAAACTATTATGAAATTTATTGCAAAAGTATCCAGTTTATCTTGCAGAAGAATCATTAACTATGAATAGCTGCGTATTCATTACATATGGATAATATCGCAAACCGATTAAACTTATGATCGGACTATTTAATAGTTAGTAAATAATGTGGTATATTCAGTGCTTTTGTCACAAATAATAATATTTGATTTTTTAAAACAATAATTATTATCCATTTTATAAAGAATTATTTTGTTCTTAAGCACCCCGATTCCGCATCACAATGTTAATACAAAAAGGGATTACTAGAGCTCTGTTTCAAGCTCTTTACATGGAATACTCTGAAGAAACTCCAAATGTTGAACTTTTATTAAAAATACATCAGGTAAGATTCTTTGTATGTTGTGTATTAATGGTTTTCAAAATATTCTTGGTTAAATGTAGTGACTCCAACTATTCTTAGAATTTAATAATATTATTAGGAAATCTGGTTAAATCATCAAACGGCTTTTTTAACTACATTTTACTGTGAACATACAATCGGCAAATTATATACGGTTACGCTATCAAATAGAAACTTTGGTCAGTGGACTTAACTCATAAGTCTAATCACTAATCAAGATGATATGACAATGAGTTAGTTGCTGAATGGCAAGTAATTAATGAAACACGAAAATGTAGTTCAAGAAACTATTCAGTCCTGTAGTATTTCATTTTTAAATTAGAAAACAATACAATTGATGCCAATTCTTTTGCAATTACTTGCAGTCAGCATAATCCCAGATTCTATCTGTTTGCTGTGCTTAATAGACGTATTAACGTTTTCGTCAAAATGATGTTTCTGTATTCATTTATTCTTACATTTATAGAAACTACATTAAACTTAATATGAATACTTCTGTAAACCTTTCTCATGGCAATCAAATATCCTTTCGTACGTCACTTTCTACCCGTCACACATACTTACATAAGTAATTATTCATCAAAGCATTTTACTGACAAAAATCATACCTAAGTTTATAATATGTTTATTAACTCTAATGTTGTTCGTGACTGGTGCAGTTGATTTTATTGAAAACATCATTATCTTCTTAACGTAAGATTCAGTGACTGGTGCATTATCACGTATTGTCCGGTTTCATTAGAAATGAAGTCTTTTATTAAAGTGAAAATTACTAGTAACGTAGTATTTAATGTCATAATCAAGAAATTCTCGTGAATGCATGAATTAACTATATGCATATCTTTGATATTTCTGTACTTGTTTTGAAAAGAAAAAATTCACCAGAACTCCTCTGTCAGTATTGTTTTGGATACATTGAGGGTACTAGTATTCCCTATTACGTCTTTACCTGCCTCATCCAGTTTCACAGTTTGAAGTATTACCACTGACCTACCTGGACCGCGATTTACCTTCTGTAAAATTGAGAAGTAGTTACAACTGTTTGATTACTAATTGTCGTGTTCGTCTAGTCCTTTAGTGTTAATCGAATTCTGTCGATTAGTTTGTAATCTATCCACTAGTTTAAGTGACTCAAAATCCTGTGCACTATATTACACTATGTTTTCAAGTTCTTTCAAATGTGCCATCATGTTTTTTACTTACATATTGATTGTTTTTCTTTTTTAATTAGCTAGTTACCTTAATTTAGTTACAAAATGATAACATGTCCTATTAACAACCATAATGCGCTGAAATGGAAAATTTTTTTTATCAAACTTTAGTTACTCTGTCGTCTTGGTCCGATGGATAAACGTTTTGGTATTCGAGCAAGAGTGAGCCATTGTATTCCAATTACAATCCATCTTCTTAGAATTCAAGTTAGTACAAATTATTTTGTTTTACCTGTTTAATATTTGTATATTTCATAAATAATAATGATTACAAAGAGCTGGACTAAGACTTACAGTATAATTTAGTCCTGTTCGGGGCTGGTCAGTTTGATTTATTTGCCTTTCAGTGTCAGTGTCCTCATTGGGGCCCAAACTTAGTGTATTTCACTCCGAACTCGCAATGAATTGTTCACTGTTCCGCTAAGTTCACTTACTCATCAGCCTACTCAGTGGATGTAATGTTTGTATTTTTCCGGATATCCAGGATGTACATTCTATGCGGATTGGCTTGATATGTCTATTTTCATGATAAGTTATTTAGAAAAGATGTATTGTTGCTAATGATTCATTGGTTCTTTTAAAATAAAGTCATCCTGGGGTTTATTGGTATTAAATTGAAATCTTATATTGACCAAAACCCAGCTCAATATTTAATTCTTAAAGTAAGTGGTAAGTAGATATTTTCACCACTTAATATGAACAGAAACGATTAAGGACGAATTCTCGTTGAACCTATAATATCTTCCATTTACGAGCGATTGAACTTATTCTAATACGAATGGGTTTATAACTGATTGATTACTAGGTAGCGACCATTGTCAAGTTTTTCTTAGTGCTCATCGAGTTCTATAGATCATTTTGCAATGTGGCTACTATTCTAGGTGACTTGATATCTCATGAGCTATGTTAAGATGTAAAATGGTGGTCGAAAGTAGTCTACAGGAAACCTTGAACTAAGGTTCCATCCTATTCGACATTCACCAGTAAGGTTTCTCTGTAATCTTTATGTGATTGATACTACCTGGTGGGTTCTATCCCATATCATTCAACTTCAAAGTCAGAGACGTTACCATTTAACCATTCAGGTTTTGGTCCTCAATGAGGTCAGTCGCGACGTGAATATCTTAGTAATAACGTCTCTGACTGTGAACCTGAATGACATGGGATCATTGGGCTAATCACAAAATAGTAAATGCTAGATTTAGGATTTAGTCTTGAAGATTAGAATTTTAGGTGAGTGTTATAGTTAAGAAATGGATGTAGAAATCAATGTTACAGTTGGAATTGTTGTCCAATTTCACAATTAGGTTTAGATTGTATGCTTAGCTTATATATGTATCTTAATATCTAACCCTAAACTCTTATATTCTAATTAGAAAGCGGTAGAATTAAAATTTATAGATGAAACGATTACATTTAAGATAGACTCGGATTTCTGCGTGAAATTCATTCATCTGTATGGATAAATAATATTTTGGCGTTATAGCTGATGTCATTACGTGATGAAGACCCGAACCCCTAACTCTAACGTCTCGTCCTAATTCCTTACACTAACTTTTAACTCGTTTTTGACCCTAGCAAGTGACTGACGTTTTTTAAGGCCACTTTACAATCATTCAAAAGTTGTGTATAAATGATAGTCTTAGACTTAAATACTAGCCTTATAAACAAAATCGAAACTCGTAATCTTAAAGCCTATCGCGTTTTCCTTAGCTTACTTTAAGTTTCCAATAATATTTTCATTATTATTAAAATAAATTGTCTTTGGTCGAAAGACAACACTGTGTTCTGGTATACATTCTGTGACCTTGAAGTGACCCGCTATTTTCTGATTGATTCAATTTTATTAGTCAAGTTTACCAATTTTTTGATAGGCCCCTAAATGCACTGGTACAGCCGAAGATGAGGAGGGCCCGCTTTCTCTCTAGAAATGCTCTCATATGGCCACATGCATACAACCGCTGACAGTGAAGTACTACTCACTGCCTTCTCTCAAAACGGGTGTTGTTTACGAAACTGAGAGGACGAAAAGCGAATGTCTGGCAACGGCTTTAACCGGGCTGATGGATATGGACGGTCCACTTAGAGGGTTTAGGAGACCCTGATTACAAACCAATGGTGCATATGAGCTCCAGGATCCTGTGGGAATAAAGGGATTATGAACCTATTGTTGATGATTGGCTACCATGGGAATGCAGTCAGTTAGTCAGTCAGTCATTCAGCTACAAATTTAGACCAGGAGCATATGTGCATCGGACCTGAGAGCGTGGCCGCAGTGCCCAAGGGACAACTGCTTGAGATCAGTCACACACGACCTTTTGGTGTGTAATTTTCGTGTTAGCTCCGTACTTGTTGAGACCTTACGGCTAGAGACGGATATCCGTGAGATAAGGCGAAGTGTGCACTTTTATGGTCGACCATTTCTAACTCCACCCTTCCAAGTGTGAAAGCAGAATCGTTGTTATCCTGGTTGTCTGAAGGAAACACCTTACTTCCATCACACCTATGTACAGTCAGCAGTACGACTTCATTCTCCAGTATTGGGTTTGCTGCTTTTAGTCTTATTGTTTTTGAACCGACCTGTCTGGCATGGTAAGACCTAGCGGAACGATTGTTTCAGCCAGTGTAGCTTGATTGTTTCATCACGATAGGCAATCCTAACCACCACGTTAAGGTAGCAACAATAGTCGGGCATGAAACTGCATCGTCTGACGTTGCTTCATTGTTTTGTGGGTCAGACCTTTAGGTCAAAAACTCGGATTGTGGCCCCTTAAGTAAACCATCTGCTTTGGTCTGATCACCCGGTCAGTATCACAACCCACACACAAATCCAGTGACTTCTGTAGTGCATATGTATTGAATTGAATCACTTAATAAAAACAAAAATAACTCTGTATAATTCACTAATAATTCATTTGAAACTATTCTTATATCTTATTATCTAATCTAATGTTCTCATGTATTTAATAGGTTACTCTATTGAATTCATCAATACGCACAACTCCTTTCAGTTTTGATAAACACTTAAAGAATCTAACCAATTTCAATTTTTCTTATTCAACAATGAATTTAAATTCTTTCCAAAATAATCTTAAACATATTCATACTGTAAATGAGATGTTATGTAATCATCCTCCTCTTTCTCACCATCATCATCATCTCCATCCTCATCTTCATCATCCTTCTCGTTATCATAAAACTATGCCAACAATTTCATCAATGATACAACATAATTTAAATATTATTTTACATATGATTTGTTTGTATATATCAGATAGTGGTAAAACAAATTCATATTTATTAGGACGTAATGGTGTTATAAAACTTTTAATTCAATTAATTACTTTATTATCTGGACTTTATATATATTATCCATCATCTAATATGAATTCATTATTATCACCATCGACATCAACAACAACAACAACAATACCCTCACCATTACCACCACCACCACCACCGCCAGCAACAACAACAACAAGGGTAACAAGAAGAAAGACAACTGTGTCACCAACTGATATTCCTAGACAGAATTCTATAAAAATAACTAAAAACTCTATGAATGATTACAATAATCATCTCTATAATAATAATAATAATAATAATATCAATAAAAATGAATTGATTATTAATAGTCCAATAAGATATATTATAATTGTCATGGCATCATTGATGAAAGAATTATTGAAATCTTTTGAACATAATAAAAATCAATCATTTCTTGAATTCACAGAATATGGTTTACATAATACTTCCAATTTAATCAATTCAATTCTATCATTAATTACATGTAAACCTACATTGATTGCTATTGGTGTAAAGTATCATAATAATTTAATTCGTCTTCTAGTGAATACATTATATTGTCTTATTAAATATAGTAAGTCTATTAATGTAATAAGCTTAAAATTATCTAAGACTTTAGCAGTTGAAATCATAAACCAATCTAAGCTTAGGCCATCATTTCAAACATGGAGGCAATGGATGGTTGTTTCGTTCTAGTATGGAACTTCATAACGGTGCCACATTCATGTCGTCGTACGCGGGACTCGAACGTAGTACTTTCGGTTTCGCGAACCGACATTTAGCTTTTAAACTACTGAGTGAGCATTGAATGGTGTTAATGTTTGACTTCAATCGATCTATGAATCTATATTTCTATATTTGACTGAAATATTAAGTTGAAAATCTCTGATGTACTACTGAGAAGTTGAAATTATATGTCGAACAATGAAGTCTGAGACAATTAATGAGCATTTTACAAATGAAGTATTTACTGTATGGTTCTCAGATTTTACTAAGCGATTCTCTAATTTTGTATTTAAGCACATTCAATTGTCCCCACTTGTGTTCTCGTTCACTACAATACTACTTATATCTGTCGACATCAGTAGCACATACCACAACACAAGTAGTAAATATTCAAAATGGAGGCTTAGCATTCAATATGTTAATTCTATTTCATTCAAATGATTTAAATAGTAGTAACCATAATTACACACTACAATGTTTTTTTTCTCCTCCACAGAAAATAATGCTGTACGCGCTAACAATAATAATGCAGTCCCATTACTATTGGATTTATTCCTTGATATACATCGATGTGATTTACAATGGCGTTGGATTGATTTACAAAAAAGCTTGTTGAATTGTTTAAAACTATTGACAGGAATAAGTAATTTGAAGTTTAATATTAGTTTTTGGGGAGTATATATATATCGATATACTTATAGTTGAAATCATGAGTCAATTAAAGCTAGACCACCATGAGAAACCTGGAAACACTGGACGGCCATTTCGTCCTATTTTAGGACCCCTCAACAGTGCGCATCCACAATACCGGCCACCGCCCTCCGCGGGATGGTTTTTTGGCAGTTTCTTTTGGAGCTTATTCACCTTACTACTTATATCAGTCAGTAGTGAGAGCTGAAGAGATATATCTTACTACATTATATGAAAGATCAAGTCAAGAATGGAAAACAAAGTGTTTTAGTATAGGTCTATCAGATCATTACTGATATGATAAAGTTTCAAATAGAATTTACCGGATTTAAGCTTTTATATTCATTCAAGTTGATGAGTCGATGAGATTATAGTTTATAAATGACGTTTGAGCAACGTTTAAGTGAACTTGATACACTTCAACTACTTACTAGAGTTACTAGGATCCACATAGGGGAGTTGGAAAATTCTGATTCCAAACCAATAGTGTACATAGACTCCAAGATCCTAAGGAAACAAATGGCGTATGAACCAATTGTTGATGACCGGCTACCATGCTCCACTGCATTGTGGATTAAGCCTTTAGGTCAAAGGCTTGGGTTGTGGCCCACTAAGAAAACCACCTGCTTCGGTTTGGGCACCCGGTCAATATCTCAACGCTCACAGTAATCTAATGATTTATGTGGCGCTTATCTGTTTGGTGTCTCCTTGTACCAACTTTTATATGTTTAAATAAATAAATGAGTCAAATAAAGTTTGTAAAGTTAGGGTTAGGAACTAGACTTAAAGTTTTCACCATGAATGAATATCAACTATGATGCTAAAATATGATCTAACCATGTAGATGAATGAATTTCATGCTAAGATCTAAGACTCGCTAACTTAAATCTAACTGATTCATCCATTAATAATAATCTCGCCAATGAATCATACATTACGCTTACTAAGTCGCTGTATACACTTTAGTATTAGTAATATTGGTTAAAATTATAAAGGAAAGATCACTGTGATAGACTGCTTCTAAAGATTTTATTGAGAACTACTAAGATAAAGCTGTTAGATGGAAGCAGATATTCACAGAAGGTAAAACATTTAAAATCCTTATTACTTACTTACTTATACATGTTATCTGTCGTAGACGAGCTGAGTCATCTGCGAAATCTAGATCATTTAGTTGCATGCAAGCTGTACATTGTATTCTGTGCTTCCCCTCCAATGTCGAGATCTTCACAATCCAGTCAATCATCAGAAGAAAGAGAGAGTGAGCAACCTTGTCTGACTCCGGTCCTCACTTGGGATTCATCTGTTGTCTGTTCTCCGTTCACAACATTACAGTGTAGTCCGTCGTACAAATTCCTAATGATATTGACAATTTTCTCAGGTACATCGTAGTATCGGTAATGGTACCATAACATCCTCCTATCCAAACCATCAAATGCTTTCCCATAGTCAATGAAGTTGATGTATAGTGACGAATTCCATTCACTTGATTGTTCAACGATAATCTATAGTGTCATGACTTGATCTTTGTACGACCGATTATATCTGTTTTCATTTTATAGTTTTGAGGTACATATTATTCTAATTATAAGCTTTTATTTAACCTATTAACTGTCGATGTAACTTTTAACGTACTGGAATAATGATCAATTAATTAGTGTAAAACCTGATAACGTTTAGTGTTAGCGTTTTTTTTGAGAGTTAGTTTTCTACGGGATTGGGTCGCTAACCCCATGCTCAATCCTCCTCCTTTATTCGAGCTTTGGACCGGCAGTAACTCCAGAGGGGGTCTAGGAGGAGCTAATACATGACAACGATCTAATTGAAAACAGTATTGTATTATATATTTTTATACATTTATTTAGAATTCTACTATTCTAAATACTTAATATATATTGATTTACTTACTGATAGTGGATGGTTTAAAGAAATCCATACTGAAGGTTCATGATATAAATTGCAAAGATGAGAAGAGTTTCCTCTATACTTTGTGTGTCATTGACTGTCTACTGAGTAGTGATGTTTTTATCTAGTCTTTCAGTAATGATAGAATTTTAAAAATCAAGTTGTAATGGGGGCAGTAGTCTCAGTGATTTGAAATCGCGTGTATTAGGCTGTTATATCACAATGTTAAGGCTAGTCTATAGGAAACGGTGTACTAAAATTTCATATTACCTGACACACGTCAGTAGAGTCGATTTGAAATTTTGAGGGAACTGGTGACCATATTGAAACTTTATCGATGTGATGTAGGCACCATTAAAAGACTGGATAAACTTAAGATTGTTCACTATTCAATGATTAGTCCTACAGCAGATCATCCACGGTTCGAATAGCTCATTGAAAGCTTGTCAAATGTTAAAACAATATAAACAAATTTCAAATCTTCCAGTAAGCATCAAGATTACGTGTATACTATGCTGACAAATCTTAACAAACATGAAACCTAGATTTACTCAGATCTACTATCAATTAACGCTAGCGATATACGATATTTTGTGTTGTTGAAGTTCATTAATGACAAATCAATATGAGAAACAACACATTCTGTTGTTTTCTGGAGTGAATCATAAATGAATCAATTGAAGCTAGACTAACATGAAAAACCTGGAAGCTTTGAACGGTCATTTCTTCTTATTGTGGGACTCCTCAGCAGTGCGTATCCACGATCCCACTTCTCAAGATTCGAACCCAGAACCTATCGGTCTCGTACATGAACGCTTAACCTCTAAACCACTGAGCTGATCAGCATTCAACAATGTTAATGTCTAACTTCAACTGTTCAGTGTTTTCAGATTTTCCAATGATAATCTAGCTTCAATTAACTCATGATCTCAACCATTCAAATTACTATAATATCCACTAAACCTTTTCTGATATGAATCATAAATGTCATGTATAATTCATTCTAAATATTATCTTACTATTGTTTTCTTATCTCATATCTTTTCATTTAGATTCTGGACGTAAAGCTTTAATTAAATCGAATGGATTTCATACATTATATGCTATTTGTATTGATTATATAGGACCTAATCCACTTAATCAAACTAAACATAATATCTTATCAAAAATTATTTCACAATATGATAATGCAAAATCTTCTACTCATCATAATAAACAAATAAATGTAAAAATTGATCAATATAATCAATTACATTGTAAAACACACTTAGCAACAACAACAACCACAGCAACAACAACTATAATGGATCCTGTTGATAAAACATATTCATCATTAATAAATAAAAAGTTACATATAGGAAATGTATATTCTAATAAAAAAATTATTGATTTATCGCCTTGTTCATCGTCAATTTCATCGACTATCAAATCGCCATCATCGTCAGCAGCAGCAGCAGCAGCAGCAGAAGCATCATCACCATCAGTAGCAGCAGTAACAGCAGCAGAAGTATCCTCATCGACGTCGTCAACTTTATCTTCTCATAAAACTAACTGTAAATATATGAATAAACTTAAAACTGATGCATCACATCTTATTGATAATGATCCAATTAAAATTTTAATACAAATATGTATATTATTACGTCGTTGTAGTCCAAGATGTAGTTTACCAATAATGAATGCTGAAAATATTCTTAATTGTTTATTACCATCTAATGGTTTGTAAATATGAATTATTTTTTTTTGTTTATTTAATTTGTATATATTCATGATATGGAAAATGTGTCCCTAAATGCCCTGGTACGGTCGAGAGTGAGGAGAGTCAGCTCTCCATTTTCAAATGCTCTCACATGGCCACGCGCTTACAACCACTGACAGGGAAGACGTAATCACTGCCTTCTCTTAGCCAGGGCGTTGTTTACGAATTTGAAAGGACCCAAAGTGACTGTTCGGTGCTTTAACTGGGTTGGTGGATATGGAGGGTCCATCTAGGCTAGTTGGATAAACCTGATTCCAAACTAATGGTGCACATGGACTCCAGGATCCTGAGAGAACAAATTGTATATGAACCAATTATTAGTGACCGATTACCATGGTACTGTATCTCCTAAGGTTGCTTTACTGCCTTGTGGATCATATCGTTAGGTCGAAGGCTCCGAATGTGGCCCCCTAAGAAAACCACCTGCTTCGGTTTGAGCACTCAGGCAGTCTCCCAGCCCTCACATAATTCGAATAATTTATGTGGCGCATAGCTATTTGGTGCCTCCTTGTACCAATATTTATGTGTTTAAATAAATAAACAAATATGGAAAATGTAGTTGAATACGAGATAAGTGGTAGATTTTTTTATAGTATGGATGTACTAGAACTAGTTATGGAATCTAGAACATGTATTCCATACAATTCGGGATTTAAGAATTCGATGTGTACCCCTGCATTGTAAAATTGATGTTCCTCTTTGAGTACTAAAGAGATATAGATTGGATTAAAATACGTTTTCTTCAGGATCATGTTGGGGGACGCTGACTGGTTATTTCTTAACCAATCAGAGTTAGTTAATACTTGGAGCAGACTCTAGAATCTTTTCATGTCAAAATATATGAAACTTTTTTCTTATTATAATTCGTACTTCTATCTTTTCTTGTTATTTGGATTATGATTTCGTTCCCGTTTGACCGTGTTCTGATTTAGGGACTTTTCAAGTGAATACTAAGCAATAGAAGTAGCTGGGTCATATTAAGAGAAATTATAACTCCGGGATTCGAACTCAGTACCTTTGTTCCAAGTGGCAATGTGTTATTTACAACAGAATAACCTAAACCATTATAAATTTTGTGTACTACATCTGATATTGAACATCTTACTTTGTTCTTAGTGTAGGTGATTTTCGAATTTTCTTGAATCTTATGGTTTACATCTCAAACGAATTATAGCAAGACAATAATTGAAAACCAGGAACTTCTAAAGATATCCATTTTTGTCTGAGAAAGCCATTCCAGACAATTGCATATCCTCAATCTTGCTATGGTTCGAACTTAAAACGTTCCGACCACAAGCAAAGCAGTAATTACTAGTCAATTATTTTGTGGTGCATTTCATCAATCATCACCGTAGATAAATCACAACAAAAGTGAATCACGGGGCTTAACTTCGCTCTAAAGTTGTATTTATTTATTTATTTTAGACGCATCATCGACTTCGTTGTTACGTCGAGATTCAGAGCCACTGATTCAGTGAGTGTACAAACACCTTTCTTTGTTAACTTAATATGTTCCTCTAATTCTAAAGTACTTATTTTCAATATGGGCCTTTGTTTAAATTGTTCAATGTTATTGAGATCATGAAATGACCTGAGTTTGACATCTATAGGAAATCAAAAAGCACTGAACGTCTATGTCGTCCTACTATGGCTTTCCTCTATAATTTGTAACAGTGACCCCAATGGGGATTATGAGGTAATCCTTAGAGTTCTGGTGAGAAACAATGATCAGTGGAGGTTGACTGTATCAAATAAGAGGCAGTTACCTACCGAAGACAATGAAATATGGTATCGTAAATTGATTGAGTTTATTCATGTAAATGATTGAAAACCAACTCAGTGATCTAAAGATTAGACGTTCGATGCGTGACCTGGTGAACGTTGCCTCTATCCCCTTTGGTGAGGTCGTGAATGGACACTACTGAGCAGTAATTTTATGAGACAAAACAACTATCTAAGTCTGTTCATGATCTTAAGTGCCTATTTGGCGAAACCATAATTTATGGGTGACCTTTGAACGAATCTTAAGTGACCTTGATAAAAACAGTTAGTATAGAGTAAAATTATATTATACAAAACCAAAGAATTAAAGTGGATACACTTTTTTTAAATGTTTCAAAAATTTGTCAATGTAAGAAAAAGGTTCTATATGGTAGAAGAATTCATCCATATTGGCTTCATAATAGTCGGCCTCTGAATCCATAATACGGTGGCAAAACTCTTTCAGTCACGACCACATAGATTAGATATGTAGGCATCTGTCATGTGATTACCACAATCACAAATAAAGAAACTTCTTAGTCGTCTCATTTATTGTAGTCGCTCAATTATCTCGTTTTCTCTACAATCCGCTGTGAACCGATCGTACGTGAGAATCAGGTACTGAAATAGGCTCCATGAACTTGAAATTCCTTAAACGCTTGTGATTGGCTCGTTCATAAATCATAGTCATGCCCTATCTTTATTAAGTTAAAACAATTTCTGAAAATTCATCAAGCAAATCGTCTTACCAATTGCTTTTCTCATTGTTACCAATAAATATACAATTAAATCTTCTTCAAATGAAGTGTAACATGATAAAAAGCTGTCTCTATGATGTTACTGAGATCTTTTTTCCTGAGGTTTTGTTTTTACTTAAAACTGATTAACAACCAAATTCTCTATTCATTAGAATTAGTAATAACACGTATAACACATCATGGTTGATTAATCTTGGTAATCTATAAAGTTTACAGTTTTTCTCTTTCCTTAATTGATGATTTCTACAAAGAGAGGACTGTTTGTGTATGGCTTGAACTGTAATACATGACGCGCATTTCATTCCATATGGGTTTCTTCAATTAAGTGTATCTTGATCCTATTGTTGATGTCCACACTAAGATTCGAGCTTGGTACCATCATTTCAAACACTCACATGACTGATTCCAATTACTTAGTAACTTGTTAGTAATTTAAGTGAATACTTAGTTCTTTTCGATTCATTTCTTACCATGCCTTGACAATGATTTGTAGTTTTACATTTGAATCAATCGCTTATCGATACTTTATGTTGGGGACGTTAGAACCCTAGTGCTTACTTGGAAAATAAACCTAATTTTGTGATTTTATTTGGAAAATTTGAATTCCTTTGTTTTCGCGTCAAAAGCGCTCTTTTCACCTTCATGTCGTATTTCCCACTTGGGAAGCATCTTAAATGCTATTCGTCCGTTGCGTCTTTTAGTATGCGATTCGGTAACTCTTCCCAAGTACGGTTTTGTGCTGTATATATACGCCTTGATTTGTGTTTGTTGTTATCGCTCGTTTCTGGCTGTTTACAGAATATACTTCCCCATTCCAAGCTTGGACTTCTTCCTCTAGTTAGCGAGGCTGGGTTGCATCAGAATATCTAGCTTATTGGTCTTCGGTCACAAGTCTTTGTTCCGTTCGCATACTAAGTGAACTCGTAACAGCTTCAAGCTTAGCACTTTCGTAGTTAAGTATTAGCAATATGATCATATTGATTGATATAATACTCTTGTCTGTTACAATGTTTCATTAAATTTTCTCTTTTTTTATCTACGTTTTTTTTGCATAGAAAAGATAAGTCCGCTTCACCAGGAATAGAAAAATCCAGTATGTCAGTTTTTGTTAATTTATCATAGTAGTCCTCTTTTTTATCCCCCTGGTCCGATGGACGGTTAATTCCTGTAGTGGCTTATAGATCAAATCTATCCTTTAAATGTATTTTTAAAATTATCCTTGTCTGTAGGGCTGTGTCTTGTTGTTTTAAACAGTTTTGAATATTCCCGTCAATTTAAAATATTTTTAATACCCCCTGATAATAATGTTACCTATCATACTTAAACTTGGCCTAGACTTAGGCTAAGTACCTAGTTTCCACAGTTCTCACGTCCGCCATATTGACAATTATCTTGTCCTCACTAGTAACTAGAATCACGAAGAAACTTCTGGGATTCTAGAGAGAAGTCGTGATCGATGAAGTGAAATTATGTCGGATATGAAGAGGGTATTCGCCGAAGATAATGGGAATTGTCGCTCAATATTGTATGTTGGTTGGGGTTAAACTGCTACATCATTGGATATCAGTTCACTGGTTTGGAAATGAGGCTTTCACATGTGAGATCGAAGGTTCATTATTCAGTACTCGGATTGGAAGTCGTGGATCCACACTGTTGAAGAGTCCTATACTGGTGTAAAGCGACCGTTCAATGCTTCCAGGTTTTCAATGGTTGTCTAACTTTGACCGGTTCGTGATTTCAAAGAAATACCTAATTTCTATCAAAGAAAATTTCGATCTGGCAAATTCGAAGCCAAATATTGAATATTTAGATCATTGTTCCCGAATAATAGTTTATTAAGCAAAAGAAGCATAAATTATAGAGTTTCATGTTAAGATAGAAGTATGTACACAATGGAATGGTTACAATATGTTTGCTTCACAAGTTAGTGAGACAGCATATGTTAGTAGTACAAAATAATATGACGGATTTCTAACTGCTATTCAAGCTTGACTACTTGTACGATTCCTCGTTCAATAACTTACCATCATTGCGTTAAATTTTCATCGATCTGTAAGCATCTATTTAGAAACCAGTATTTTTTCTCAATGAAGTATAATTTCGAATTGGATACACTATTTATTTGAACACATCAATATTGGTTTAAAAGGGCACCGTACACATATGCACTACACAAATCAATTGATTTGTATGTGAGCTGTAATACTGCCCGGGTGCTCAAACCGAGTGTTTTCATTGATCAGAAGCGAAAGTCAGAGTTTCGAAGAAGATCAGATACCGTTGTAGTTCTGACCATAAACGATGCCAACTGACGATCCGCGTTGGTTCTATAATTGACATCTCGTGCAGTCCCCGGGAAACTTTTAAGTCTTTGGGCTCCGGATGGAGTTTCGTTGCAAAGCTGAAACTTAAAGGAATTGACGGAAGGATACCACCAGGAGTGGAGCCTGCGGTTTAATTCGACTCAACACGGCAAAACTCACCCGGTCTGGACACTGTGAGGATTGACAGATTGATAGCTCTTTCTTGATTCGGTGGGTGGTCGTGCATGGCCGTTCTTAGTTGGTGGAGCGATTTGTCTGGTTAACCCCGATATTGGATGCACTAGTGTAACCGGCTCCCTAAGTGTCCGAATTGAGACAGCTGTACGCTCATATATATATATATATAATGTATTTCTTCCTTAGAACTTTGAGATACATATTCAACTAGTGATATACATCTTGTTCCCTAGAGAAAGAAACTAGATCTTAGTCACTATCATGATCAATGCTTGATTGATCCATTATATCATAAGCTATTTCTACCTTTAAAAAATTCAGACCTATAACATTGAGAAATAAAAAAAGCATCTTATACAGATTACTCTACCTTTAAGTAGGAAAAATAATGGCATATAAATCCGGACTGTTCATCTTCTTGAATCTGTTAAATAACTCCAGTAGATTTCTTAAAAGCGATGTACAAAAATGTTTCTACTTCTTATTATACAATGTATTGCTTTCTCAACTATAATTGGTCCATTCTTAAGTCTAATTCTGACAGTTTCAAGTCTTAGTTTAATTTGTAGTGAATTAAATTATCCTATTTTTATCAGTATGAGGATTTGTGGAGATTCTAATAGTTTTCACAGTTGGATTCACGAGTCGATCTAAATTAAACCTATTTTTGATATTTTGACTGAAATTTCATCAGTGTACATTAGTGTATGTACAGTCTGGTTTGCTGTTACAGGTATGAAAGCTGATGTCACTTACCGGCTGCCCACGCCGTGGAAGGGTATTTCTTGACGAACCTAAAAAGGAAGTTGAATTAGTGTTGGTCTTAACGACCTGGAAGCGTGACTGAAACTGTATTGGACAACCGTTTCGTCCTAGTATGGGACTCTTTAGCAGTGAGTGTCCACGATACCGTTCGAGGGATTCGAGCCCAGGGCCTTCGGTTCACAGGTCAATCGTTCGCTCGCGAGGCCAAAGGTCCTTGTTTCGAATCCAGAGTGAGGGAACGTGGATACGCACTGCTGAGGAGTCTCATACTAGTACGAAACGTCCGTCCGGTGCTTCCAGGTTTTTCATGATGGTCTAGTTTTAATCGACTCATGAATTTAACTATTAAGAAATCCACAAAACCCCATCCTGATTCTAATTTTATGTTTTAACATCTTATGCGACTATTTCTTTTGTTTAATTACATTTATTGTCAAAGATGTTGCCAAATCTAAACTCAATCAACAAGTATCTTGTTCAACTAATATTCATCCAATTTCAAATACGAAAAAAAAGTAAGTATGCATTTACTGTTTATTTAGATTTAATTTTATCACTTATCCAACCAATTCTATATGTAAGACTTCTCATTTGGATACATCTAGATAGCAATAAATATGTAAAGAGAAATTTAAGAGAGTTTCTGTCGTAAGTAAAGATGTTTGGTGACTAGCAATGAAATCCAGTATGTGCATTTCGTCCTATTTAGGAATTGCTTTTAGTTAGATATGCTGTGGGACTCGAACCCAGTGCCGTTCGCTTCAAACATCATCGCGTTTTCCACTTAGTTACTGAGTCCAGATAGGGTGAAATATATATATATATATATATATATATATATATATATATATATATATATATATTGATAACCTTTTGTCATTCTGATTCTTTTCATTTACCTATATCAATTGTTTCACACTATATCTTACCTCAATGTAAAGTTTCAATACATAAGCAGCCAATAAGAAACCAAGAAATACTTGAATAATTAGACCATCACTATACTTTTAATCAACCGAGCATTTTTGACAATAATTTTTTTTCTTGATAGTTTTTTTTATTTTTGATTAGATGGTTGTCAAGTATACTGATAGTTTTATTGAAATCACGAACCGATCCAAGTTAGACAACCATTGAAAACCTAGAAGCATTAGACGGTCGTTTCATATCAGTATGTATCCACAACTTCCAATCCAAGTACTGAACCATAAATCTTCGATCTCACATGTGAACACCTCACTCTTAGACCAGTGAGCCGATATCCAATTATGTAGGAGTTTAACTCTAACCAATATACAATATTGAGCGACCATTTCCAATCATCTTCAGTGAATACCTTCTTCACACTCGACATGATTTAAATCCACTGATTAGGACTTCTCACTAGAATTCTGGAAATTTCCTATCGAAGGTAGTTACTAGGATGAGACAGCTGCACAGAACTTCTAGGTTTTTAATGATTGTCTTACTTAGATCAATTTATGATTCCAACGTAATCTATTAACATCAGTTACTTGAAAATCACCCATATTTACATAGATTCTCTTTCATATTTTATAACTTTTCTACAGTTCGTTTCTTTCTTTCTTTTTTTTTCTCTCTTTCTACTATATAAAAATAATGAACCATTGATAAATTTATTTTCTTTTTATAAATGAAAGAAAGTACATTTTACACCATATTTTTTTTTCACTGTAAATACATATGTTACAAATTCACTCATCTCTCCCCTCTCTCTCCCTCATATATATATGAACACACACACACACACACACATTATCTATCCTTTTTAATCTCTTTATCTCTATCCTTTCAGGATGATTTTATTTCATTTTTTTTCATTTTTTTTCTTTTATTTATTAACTTTCCAAGGTCATGTGAAACTTCACTCCCACACAAATCTTCCTCTATTAATGATGATGTAATCAAATGGAACAACGATCGAAAATCTTCACAACAAATGAATTCAATTAATTTTATAATGAATAATCCATTTATTGGTGTAACATCATCTGATTATTCTAAATTATTATGCAATACTACTTATACTACTAATACTACCAATACTACTACTACTACTAATACTAATACTACTATTACTACTTCCAATATTAATAATAATCCCAAAGTTATTCGAAAGAAATCCATTGATGATCGGAAACAATTAATCAATGTTAATAATAAAGGAATTACATCTAAATTAAATCATTCTTGTTACCGTGATGTTAATTCTCCAATTGTAAGTGTATCATTTGTATGTTGTAATAAAAATTGTGATGCCGATCATTTGTACTGTATAATTTGATCGTTTCATACAACAAACAGAGTATTTATAAGCAAAGATGAATAATATTTAGCAATGGAATTACAGGATGCTCATTTCATCCTATTTGGAACTTGTTTTAGGCTGAATGTATTTGCATGCCAGAATTAATGTTCACTTTGAAACATGAATCTAGTACCGTTTACTTTAAACGTCATTGTGTTATTCACTTAACTACTGAGTCCTAATAGTCACTTGCTTGTACAATGGGATGAGATTTAATTCACTTAGTTTTGTTTGCTTGTATCTTTCCATTGTTGTTTAGGAGAGAAATTGATCAGTCTCTTATTGGTTTATGTGCATCCTATGCGGATTGCTTCAATATTGCTTTAATTCACAAGCATTATAAGCAAAGATTACAATGTCTACAAATCAAACACTTCTAACGGATAGTCATCAAAGAGATCCTAAATGTCATTTTCTTTTACTCTGAATAAGCCTTTGATAACCATACAGCCTAATAGTATATCGATATCTTGAGTATCTTTTAAAGTACAAACTCGTCCAAATGATGCATTGAACCAATCAGATATCGACTTGATGATAGCCACATGTGATTGGTCAAGATATAGCTTATTTTTTCCATGCCTTCAGAAGCATTTCATTCATGGGAAAATGTTTCTAAAATACCTAAGACACGAATATTCAGTTGGTCAGTGTAAAGCTTTCTTCTCATTCAAGTCCTTGGCTAGGTTCACAAATAAGAAGTTTATTTATCGGTATCAGAATTGGACAGGAAATAGTAGGACATTGACATGACCGAAACTTGTATAAGAAGTACTCATTTTACATTGATTATATTTATTTCTCTGTGATAATAAACAATTCACAATACTATATACATTTGTATTTCTAGCGTAAAAACGTACCTAAAATCACTAATCTACATTCCAAGAGTCTTCATAGTAAATCAATAAACGATCTGTATACAAATAACCAGACATACAATTCCTCAATAGACACATTCATCAGTCAGTCTTGTACAGAATTAGCAAATACACAACATTTGAATAAATTCTGTCGTATACAGAAATTGAAGATTCTAGGAAGAGGAGAAGATAAGAATTCCAATCAACCTGATAAGCAAGAGGATTTCAACGGTACACAAAGAGATAAATTACCTGTTATCGGTGACAAACCTATTTCATATCAACTGATCAGTTCATCTAATACATCATTAACATCATCAGAAATATTCGATATAATTGAACAGAATACTCAGAATGTTGATGGTGATGGTGTTGATGACAATGACGAAGAAGAAATGGAAGACGAAGATGACAATGATGATGTTGAAGATGATGAAAATGATGATGATGGTGCTAATTTAATTGGACACGAGGATACCACAACAACTAGTCAACGATGCACATTTAGTGAATTAATTTCAAGTCATTTAAAATTTTTTCCTGAATGGTTTGATCTACCCAATGTAAGCGGTGTTTTTTTCTATACCCATGTTTACAAACTTGAGATGGTAGATAGGATTTGTAGCTCAGATAGATGGTTTTAATGGAATTTTGTTCTTTGCGCTGGATGGTTTGGTCGTGGAGCTTTCATCGTTCTTCGGAACAATATCATCAGCACAAAAGTTTCAACCTTTTCAATATTCGCCTTATTGAATCATTCATCATATTTCTATAGTCCTAATTAGTGATGATTGAATTCTATCAATCACATTACAATGTGACCACTTGTCTAAGTGACCTGACATCATGTGTACTATGCCAAGATGTTAGGTTATTGAAAGTAGTCAATAGTAAACACTGGCTAGATATATGTTTTTGGCTGGTTGGCACTCATCAGAAAGGTGTACATACACAACGTTGGTCACTTCACAGTGATCAATTAATTGTAAATATCTCAGTCCTATTGGAGGTTAGTCACGATCGGAACAGCTCAATAATAACATCTATGAATATGAATCTACCAGAGAGTACCGATTCTCTGAGAAATACAGGTGTAGACCTTGATGACGAGTACTAACTAGCACAAAACTTAGGTCATGCCATGGTTTCCTGATGACTACATTCAACTACAACCTTATCTCTCAACTGAGTATTGATATTGGATGAATATCTCATTGCATTTCTTTTTCTGATTACCTCCTATATCGTTAAACATTCAATAACTTGTTTCTTTTATAATTACTCCAATAATTATTAACTTTGTATATTTCAACAGGAAATACCAAATAGAGTAATGAAAGAACAAGTTGAAATACCATTGGATATGATGAATTCTGTCAATTGGCCTTATGAATGTGAGTTGTTTTCCGCTGATATACCTTTTGATTATGATTATGGATCGATATTATATCATCTTGGAGACCTTTAGTATTTCATCATATAACATTGGATTTATTCAGTTTTGTGGAGCAATAGATAGAAGGGAGTTGAAGAAATTATAAATAAAATGAAGTACAAGATGTGTGTTTCAACCTAGTTTAACGTGTCTTAACAGTAGACACACATTTTGTCAGATTTTGGCTAGTATAGGATTATGTTTGAAGAAAGATGAAGGAAGCCAAACTGAAAGGTGGTATCGGTCCATAAAGACTCCTCGGTTGGGATTTATATGATAATTACCACCAGTGGTTGCAGGCACCACATGGATTGGCTAACAATCATTAGCAGTGGCACATATTCACTCAATTTTTCCCTTCAATTGTATCCAGAGTTTTAAAATTATCTAATGAACTTTTATTCCATAAATTTATTCTTCTCAAATCAGATCGTCTATACTTAATCTTCCGTTAATCATTCTGCTACCTTAGGATTTATCCTGGAAGTTTCATTTGGTTATACGCTAATATGGAGTGTAATGGCTTGAACTGATGCATATTTATACCCAGGTTCTATGTCGCATATGTCTGATTGACGAACTCACACACATACAGCACATCATACAAGATCCTGAACAAACATCTTACTGGACTAATTCTTCGATTGCATCACTTGTGGAGTAGGTGGAATGTCCGTCTACCAAGCAAAACGCTAGCACACTGAGCAGCAATTGGCTCTTTATCACTCTATGACCGTGAATGATAGTCTGTAGAGTTACATTTAGAGTGTATGCTTTTCAGTATGGATGACCTCAAAACACTGATAACATATATTTAAGTGACCAATTCAGGAACGTTGAGTTTATAGATAGAGTACTGATCAATGATAATAGATCGATTGATGAGGTCATAAATCTTAAACAAATCGGTTATACTAAATTCATGCTTGATGTTCTTCGAATTGTTATGTTCTTTACGTTCATTCATATGAGATTCTCAATGTTCATTGTTACACTTTCGCATTGGTACTACATTATATTGATTCCTTTATTATTATTATTACTATTATTATTATTATTATCACTCTTGTTACTTTCATTTCATCATGTTATTATGATGTGTATTAACTTGCTACATAACATTTATGTCATGCCCTAGGTTGATTATATACAACTGTGATTGGCAGATAGCTCACTGAATATAATCCATTTAACAACTGACAGTATTCATTATTATTATTATTATTACTACTGGAGGATTTTATCTGTTACCTATGTACTATAATACTTATCCTTAAATAGTCCTAAATACAAACCATTATTTATTTAAACTAGAAAATCTTTACATAAGATAGATGATCAATATTGAATTCTATCCATCATCAGTTTATATGTCTATCACCCTTACCTTAGTTACTATTTTTGAAGAATGATTATATAATCTGTTGTTAAGTTCATTGTTATCTGATCCCAGATCCTTTTTTAGCTTAGTTTTCTTTAAATATTTTACCTTATTCAATTAATCCTTAAAATCAAGATTTTGAAGTTATTGTCAGTTATCTACTAGCGCCAATCGGCTACACCTGTTACTCCTCGTGAAGGAGCATAGGCCGCCCTTCAACCCTCTCCATCCAACCCAGTCTTGGGCAATCCTTTCCAGCTGTTATTCATCTTTTTCATTTCTACCTCTATCTCCAGACATAATGTGTTCTTTGGCTTTACTCTTTTCCGCTTTCCTGAAGGATTCCAAGTTAGGGCTTGTTTTGTTATATAGTTTGATCATTTCCTAAATGTATGTCCTATCCACTTACAACGTCTTTTCCTAATTTCCTCCTCAGCTAGAGGTTCATTCGTTCTCTCCAACAGTAGGTTGTTGAGTATCTTGAGTAGACAGTTGTTTATAGATATGTTTATTTTTTTATGATGGTTGTGGTCGTTCTCCACATCTTAGCTCCATACAGTAGGACTGTTTCGATGTTTGTACTAAATATTTTCACTTTGATGTTAGTTGACAGTTGTTTTGAGTTCCATGTGTTCTTCAACTGTCCTTTCATTGTCAATCCTTGCCTATACGTCTACATCAGATCCTCCATGTTCATCTGCATATGTTCGTGTGTATGGGATAGGAGGGCTAGGTCATCTGAGATGTCCAAATCGTCTAATTAGTTCCAAGCTGTCCATTGTATTCTGTGTTTTCCCTCGGATGTTGAGGTCTTCGTGACCCAGTCGACCACCAGAAGAAAGAAGGGGGAAAGTAGACAGCCTTGTCTGACTCTGGTTCTTACTTGAAATGCATCTGTCAGCTATCCTTCATGCACGACTTTGCAATGTATTCCGTCCTATGAGTTATGCATAATGTTGACAATTTTCTCAGGAACTTGATAGCATCGAAGAAATTTTCATAATATTCACCTATCTACACTGTCAAATGCCTTTTCTTAGTCAATGATGTCGATGTATAATGATGAGTTCCACTCAAGTTATTGTTCGACGATGATTCGTTATATTGCAATTTGGTCTGTGTACAACTTATTCTTACGGAATCCAACTTGTTAATCTCCAAGTTAGTCGTTTACTGCATCTTTCATCTGGTTCAGTAACACCCTGTTGAAAACTGTTCCTAGTATTGAGAGTAGTGTGATACTTTTTTTCTAAAATCAAAGTACTACAATATAATCCTTTATGGAACATGTTGAAATCCAATCTTTACCCCACTATCTAATCACACATAAATTATAATTCTACATCATAAATTTCTCATTTCATTTTGTTTTCATAAACTGTTTACAACATTTAGATAACAATCTTATCTTTTGAATATCTATATAATAGGTAACTATTCTAATGATAATCTTAACATACATCCTCCTAACAAAGACAATACTACTTTGGAATATTATTATTATTATTATGCTCAAAGAGTAAAACCTTTATTACCATTTCAAATCATTGCTTATCCTGATTTAATTGATGCACATGGATCAATTGATTATGAACCATTTTATTCAATAGATCAATTAATTAAAAGATATTTTAATCAACAATCAAATCTATGCAATGATAATATAACTACTTCATCTTATTGTAAAAATAAATTATCCCAAGTTACATCAACTGTTAGTAATGATGGGGATGATGATGTGGATGATGGTAATGATGATACGGATAATGATGATGATGATGATGATGATGATGATGATGATGATGATGATGTAGAGGAGGAGGAAGAGGGGGAAGAGTGTGTTCGTCTATTAAAAGTTCAAGAAGGTATGTGTTTTCTTCTAATTATATGTTTAATCAAATCATCTATTTCACTACTACTATTACTGTCGATCATCGTAATCTGAACTTATTATGTCTTATAGCTGCTAACTCATATCACGTAACAAAACGACTAATCAGAATCATGATTTCTATGATCTAGTATCTTTGAGTTGATCATTTACACATCCGCTTGGCATTAATAACCTTGAATCAATTGCTAAGCACGTATTAGTCGATGACCTTATAGCTTCCCTCTCTCTGCTTTGCTCCTTGAATCTAAAATTTAGGATCCTGCTTCCATTATACGAATATTATATTTCAAACATAAGGTGTTTATATCCGGACCTAACTGCGACCACATCACAGCATAAAATAAAAAAATAATAATGATAAATGATCAAGCCAAAAGTGTCTGTGAGTAGGAAAGACAGTGAATAATAGAACTGGCAATAAATTAGGTTTAATCGAAAGCTTATAACTAAAGGAATATTTATACATTATAGGTTGGTGTCTTAATAATCATACAACTAAATTGGAATTAATGATAGTTCGTTAAAAGCTAGTTATGACTTTTACAATATCCGTTCCGTTACAACACAGAACTTAAAAATGAAGAATTACTGATGATCTTCATTGACATTTTAACTGATCTTAACAAGAACTGTGATTAATGTTTTTAAGTAAAGTGGCTAGTAGTGGAATCCGTGACGCGCGTTTCGTCCTGTTTGGGACTCATCAGCTGGATATACTTGCATCCCAGAGTTGATGTTCACTCCTGGACTCGAAGACAGTACCTGTTATGATTCTATGTCCGGCTTTCGATCACGTGACTTATCCAACAATCAGAATACAACTTATACAAATATTCGCATTATGACAAAACCAATGACGTTCAACCGGTATGAGCAGTCTAGCGTCCATATTTGGTCCTATGTCCTTCTAGCTTGTTGGCTTGAGTCCAGAACACAATACCAGCTTCTGTAATATGAATCGAATCGAATCGAATCATTTACTCAATCAGACAGATCACAATGTACCATAAAATAGAAAATAACATGTGTACACAAATAAGCCAAAAAGTGGCTGTGAACGTGGGAGACAGTAATTGATAAACTGAGTATAATATGGGAACAGTAAATCGTACGATAATAATCTATAGGCCAAAATGAAGCATATAACAAGGGGAATATAGATATATACAATCTAGTTACTGAATAGGTATATCATAAGAATATATAGATAATATTAGTCCGTTAATAGGTTTCAGAAGTTACTCGTAACGTAATCTTCGCCAGGACATAACAGTACCGTTTGCTTCAAACGTCATCGCGTTATCCACTTAACTACTGAGTCTTGAAAGCCACTTGCTTTTGCAGGTACATCCAGTTGACGAGTTCCAAATAAGACGAAACGCGCGTCCTGAATTCCACTGCTAGCCACTATCCATCTTTGCTTAAAAAGCTTGTGACTTAAGGTTATATCGAGACAATCCGCACAGGATGCACATATGCCAACATGAGACTGATCAATTGCAGTCCTAAATAACAATGGGAAGATACAAATAAATCAACACCAAGTGAATTGAGATCAATTTAGTTCCGTCAAAATTCATATTCTGTAAAGGGATAACTTATTAATATAAAACTTCAAATGGTTAGAAGTTATAATTAGAATGTGGAGTTAGAAGCTCAAATTAAGCTTTAGATACAACCTATTCTTCTGTGTATATTTAAAATAGTTTGGATTATCCTGGAGGAAGTTTCAACCCCAGGATGCATGCACATCCAACTGATGAGTCGTAAATTGGACGAAACGCGCGTTCTGGTTTCCACTGTTAGCCACATTCCATCTATCTTATTATCCTTCTTTGTTGTATTTTTTGGATTTCACGCAAAAATCTAAAATCATCTTAATCTGATTGGTTCATCAGAATATGACACTTTTACCGAATTATTTTTAGAAAGAAATACTATGGACGTTCATTTTTTTCTCTAGTTCTTTGATGACCACACAGAAGAATTATTATTTTATGATTGACATGTTTTACATAGATCAAGGAGACAGATATCGAACGTATCTTATGTAATGAAAAATAGAGTAACAGGTTACTTCAATTATATAAGACCGTGTGTGGTCGGGCCTTGATGACAAAAAAGTGGTTGTTTAATCTCTCTCTCTCTTGTCCTTTTATGAATTAGTACTTTCATATTCCCAGTAGGACCGAACGGTGACCATCTCTTTACCACATGGCACACTGACTGATGAATAACAACCAACATCTTAACGCCTATTGGACATAGAGTCCCGTCTAACCTAGCAGGCAATCAGAAGATGAAGATAGAAAACAGACTACTTCTCAATTGTACTCAATTCAATTATAACTTGAAACATACTTGAAACGTCTGAATACACAATAATATCATCGGGAAATTACAATATGTATGTAACTCAATCATAAGTGATGCAAAACCGGAGTAATAGGGAGATGATTAATTAATGATAAAGCTGGGGTAGTGAGACGTGACAACAATTACTGGGTTATATAAAAGTTAAGAAATAAGAAAGTATAAAAATACAAAAGTCTAAGGGTTTGCTAACTATATAACAACTATATATAATTCTTCGTATAATATTTTCAAGTTATAGTTTCACACTATTTGCCTCATTTTCATTTTAATAGTTGAGATCATGAGTCAATCGAAGCTAGATCACCATGGATACCTGGAAGCATTAGATAGCCGTTTCTTCCTATTGTAGGACTACGTCAGCAGTGCGCATCCACGATCTCACCTCACGAGACTTGAACCCAAGACCTAACTGTCTCACAGTGACCAGTGAAGTTTAACCAGGTCTGTTGTGAGATAGTAGCTCACTAATGACAATGGTGGGTGCGTTGCTCAATTCCATAGATTTAATGAAGTTAGACATTAACACCGTTGGATGCCGGCCAACTCAGTGATCTAGATGTTAAGCGTTCGCGCTAGAGACCAATCAGTCCTGGGTTCGAATCTCTCAATGTGAGATCGTGAATGCTCACTGCTGAGGTAGTGCCATAATAAGACAAGACGACCGTCCAGTGCTTCAAGGTATTCCATAGTGATCTAGCTCCAATTGTTTCATGAATTCAACTATTGAAATGACTATAATATCTACAAAACCTCTATCTGATTATTATTATATGCTTATTTTATAGCTGATGGCTCCACTAATCCGATCACCCAAAAGAATTCATCAATACACAATTTAAACAAAACTTCTAAATCAGTTAAATTAAATAAAACTATAAATAGATCATCTAATAATAATAATAATCAATCATCCCATATAACATTGAATGTATCTGATTTACCACATATAGAAATACTTGAGGATCTAAGACGATTTATTGAACCCGATGATTTAATAAATCGTGTTGTATATGATATAGATGAATTAATTAAATATCAATTATCATCACAACAATTTCATCCGTGTCAGGAGGAGGAGGAGGAGGAGAAGAAGAAGGAACAACAGCGTCGACGACGACAACAACAACAACAACAAGATCAACATTCGTCAACATTGAAAATGAAATCAAATCAACTTTTATTAAATAGTAATTTAGAATATAATGTTAGTAATAAAATTTCAGAAGTCTCAACTATATCATCCAAAATGAATGTTCTATCATCAAAAGTTATACCAACTTGTTGTGCACGAGTGACGAATAACCATACTGTAGATAGTGGTTCATTAGATGGTACAAAGTTGACAAGTAGTGATCGTCAAAAGGATGATCTTTGTCCTTCTTCAACAATATCATCTTCATTGGATGACTTCAAGTTATCGAATCATGATGAATTAATGTAAGTTGGCATTTATTAGTATAAGTTTATTCAATCAGCAATGTTCATAATCGATATAAACACCTAAAATAATTGATGATTTTACAATTCATATTGATTTTATACCCGGTTAATGAGTGTCACCGGAAAGTGATTACGAGTTCACCTAGTCTGAGGACGAAACAAAGATTCCGTGACCAAAGACCCATAAGCTAGCTATTCTGATGAGTCCCAGCCCCGTCAACTAGAGTGAAGTTTAAGTTCGGAACAGGAAAATATCATTCCGCAAGCAGCCAGAAGCACGAGCAATGACAACAGGCACAAATCGAACGTATATATACAGCATAAAATTTTCCTTACGAAGCGTAACAAAATAGCATACTAAAAGATACATCGACCCAGTAGCGTTTAAGGTTCTTCCAAGTGGGAAATACGACATGAGTCAGTCGGTCAGTAACAACGTGGAACTTCGTACGTACCTACGTATGTACATCAGTTCGAGTTGCCATACCACATTACCACAGAGATTCAGTTATCGATTCAAATCCCGTACTGGTAGAGGTAGTGAAAGTATAAGTAGTGATACGGAACATTACGGTTTGATGATGTTATTTAGGGAGTATATTCCAGTGGAATAGATTAGGAAAGAAAATAAAGGACATGAAGAATTCAGAAGATTAGAGTTTGAGAAAACACAGAGAGTGGATTCACCTACGGCATTGCAAACCATTTTGAGCCATGTCATTCAAGATCTCTAACCATTGGTTGCTATCATCTCGCGGATCCCAACCAGGTAGTCTACACCTACCAACATGGCTCAGTGACTTGTCCGTGACTTCATGGATTTTTGCCATGTTTTGGTCTGGCCGCCCCTAGCTTTCTTCCAACCTACTCCTACACCAGAAAACATCGCACGTCAGGGCAGTCGTTGGTCAGGCATGCATAACACATGTCCCAGCCATCTCAACTGATTAAGTTTCACTACTTCATCAATTGATTTGTCATCCTTATCTAGTACCTGTCTCCTAACAACTGTGTTACTTACTCGGTAGTCCTAGGATATACGAGCAATGTTTCGGAGACACCTATGATCAAATACTAGTAGCCTACGAATATCCTCTACTATTGACAGCCATGTTTCACTGCCATAAAGTAGGACGGAACGAACTGCTGCGCAGTAAACACGTCCCTTAGTTGATAGACGGATATCTCGACCACGCCACAAATGATGCAAGTTGGCAAAAGCTAGTCGACCCTTCTGTATCCGTACTGAGATTTCGTCACATACCAGACCACAAGGGCTGATGAGAATCCCAAGATAAGTGAAGCGGTCGACACGCTCAATTACTTCACTCTCTATCACTAGTTCGGGTGTCGATGCAACCCAATCCTGAAGCAACATTTTGCATTTCGAGGGAGAAAATCGCATGCCGAACATGCCTGCATTGTTGCTTAGAGTGGTCAGCAGACTCTGCATTCTGTCAGCGTCTTCACTTAATAGAATAATGTCATCGGCATATTTTAAGTCAACAAGTAGATCTCCCGGTAGAAGTTCAACCCCTGGAAAGTCAAATGTGGAAAGTGTTATTTCTAAAAGCACGTCAACGACAAAGTTAAACAAGAATGGAGAGAGTGGACAGCCCTGACGAACACCACTCGAGGTAATCAGTTCTGATGACAGTTCGCCATAAGCTCTCACTCGACCAGTTGTGTTCGAGTAGAGAGCCTTTATAAGGTTGATGTACTTCTTTGGTATGACATTAAGATGAAAATGAGCGTTTTTGGAGCGAAAACAAGAAATTGTAATTTTTTTAAAATAGAATTACCAAAATAAGGTATTTACTAAGTGAGTTCTGGGGATCTAACATCCCCAATATAATGCTGAACAAACTGTTTGCCATTAGTTGATCACTAGATATTAACCAGTTTGATGTTTCTTTAATCCTTTAAAGTTGATCGAATTTTATTGTTCAAGTTTTAATTCAACTTCTTGTTCCCCTAAGGTCTATGGTACCCTCTGTTGACGTATGTCAACTAACACGAAACCTAAGTGTAGTATAGGTTTACTGTCGACTGTCTTCAACCACTTAACAACTGAATATCTGGTTTATCACACTCAAGTTTATTACAGTTCTCTATGACAATCAGATTATAGACTATTTGATTGAGTAATTGTAAATGTATCTATTCACAGCTACCTTTGTCCTGTTCATATATATGAGTCCACATATGCTTGAAATCTAGTATGTAATAGAGGCTGGTTGCTGTCTTTTCTTTAAACACAAAGCAGAAGATGAAGAAGGGCTTACGGATGGTTAACCAAAAAGAGCTCAGCTTGCTCTGGTTCTACGTCAACTGTGAACGTCCGAACGATAATTGGTCAGGTTAAGAACGCTAAGCTATAACCAAAATACTATACATAGGATAAAGAAAATTATAATCGGAATTGCAATTGGTGAATTTTACACGTGATATCGATTGGCAATCTCAAGATAACTATGCTATTAGTCCATGAAGTCACTGACTATTGATTTGAACCATGTTGATATGTGAAGACCACTGGATTGGGATTTTCACGTTTTGTTTTCACAGTCACAATAAGCGTAATATTATGTACAGAAAGATAAAATATTTTATTCACTGAAGAAGGAAGCATTCAACGATGTCTAACTTCAACCAATGCACAAATCCCATACTAGAACGAGATGGCCGTCCATTGCTTCCAGGTTCTTAATGGTGGTCTAACAGTAATCGGTTCATGATATCAATGAAATTCAAAAATTTCCATAACCACCTACTGACATTCAACATCCATTTTAAATTATCATGTTTAATCTTGGTGATGACACTTACAATGATTTAGGTATTCGGTGACATGACTCGAAATCATTCACAATGACGTCCATTTATTATTCTCGAATCATACAGTCTCTGTGTATTATTTTCTTCTACTATTGATGCTCTGGTAATGTTGCTGTTGTGATGCTGTATGATAACTTGAACCGATGCACAGATCGGTCAGGTTCCATGGTGTATACAACTGACTGTCTAATCATATAAATATGCTTACGATACACTAAATACTTCATTTGCAAAATGTCAATTAATCGTCTCAGACTTCATTGTTCTTTAGTTTCTCTACTAATCATCCTCTGCTCCCGTTCTCTTTTCTTCAATCTTCTTAACATTGTTCCGCCAGGCATTTCACTTTTGACTAGTGATACATACTACTTATATCTGTCGACATCAGTAGTACATACCACATAGCTGTGTGTTTTTTGAAAATTTATTTCTAGACTATGGATAAACTTATGAATACGAAAACGTATAGCCTAATGATATCATATTTTTTTTTCTTTTTACTTAGGATTGGTCAATTTGACGCTGAAAAAGGTCATTTAGAGTTTGAATCTCGTTTCGAATGTGGTAATCTGAGAAAAGCAATTCAAGTAAGTCAATCTAATTGAATGACATTTTTTCATTTGTATTCCAGTATTCCTTCATACAAACCTTTCCACTCTGTCTTTTTAAAGCATATTCCCAAGGTTGTATTATTATTCTTATCATTGTTACCATATGATTTTGATCGGTTTTATCATTTACATCTGATCTTGTTAATCAGGTCATGGCAACTTGCACATATGTACCAGGCTGTATGTTATTGGTATCTATCTATCTGTCTATATTCAAAAAAGTTTGTGACAAGATTCTACGTGAACGTGAGACGCAATCATTTTTGTGATTTTCCAATAATTTAACAGAACGGCAAGACACGCTAAACTATTCCGATGCATCCTAGCCCTGCTAGCTATAGGTATAAGACCAGGTTTTGATATGGGGAAAAGTATATCTCAAAAGAGGCCAGAAGCACGAACAACCAAGCACAAAAGTCAAGCATATATATACAGTATGAAGAGGTGTTATGTCCCGATAAGAATAATGAGTGGTAACTTTGGGATCCATTTATGGACCAATAATATGCGTATATTTTTAGCGTATAATTGTTATGTAACTCAACTATTCATGTTCATGTCTATTTTATCATAAGCTTTATTTTGACCTATGTACCATTATTATACGATTTTCCATTCTTGAATTATTCTCTGTCTATCAATTACTACCTCTCAAATTCACAGCCACTCTTGGCTAAATCTTATACAAATGTTGTTTCCTATTTTATGGTACGTTGTGGTCTGTCTGGTTGGTATATAAACCCAGTGTGTTTGAAATAAATGATTCATATTGCAGAGGCTGAGATTGGTGTTCTGGATTTAACTGACTGGGCTAGGCGGAGAGCAGGACTCTAGACTGCTCTCACGTGTTTTATGCATCCTTATGCGTCCTTGGTCCGATCGATAGGTCACTACTCTCTAATTGGCGGTATCATTACTTATCTATTAACAAGGCGCACAGCCCACAAGTTATAACAAAATATCCTTGGGAAACGTCACGAAATAGCGTATTAAAAGCGGCCACGAACCAATGGCATTTAGGGTCCTTCCAAGTGGGAATTATAATCTGAAGGTAAAAATGGGTGCTTTTGGCGCAGAAGAGAGAAATTCAAATTTTCAAAATAAAATTACAAAAATATGACGTTTACTAAGTGATTTCTGGGGGTATAACCTCCCCATATTTATATCCTGTTGTGAAAGCCTACAATATGATAATCTTATACGACATACACTTTGACTACTGTCTTGTCTGTTTATTTCAATATACATTATTGTTATCAATAATCTTGAAACTAACTGTGAAACCATATTCTCGTAAATAGACAAAATGAATTTATTCATTATAGAATGATAACACAATAAAGTGCTGATCGTTTCAATGATGAAAAGGTTGTCACTATGAGCAGTTTATTAACATCTTTTTTGAAGAATTTCTAATTTATTCATTGTTCCATATGTCAGAATACTTCCATCATCATCATCATCATCATCATCAGGGGTTTTGTGGAGATTTTAGTAATTTCAATAGTTGAAATCACGAGTCAATTGAAGCTAGATCACCATGGAAAACTTGGAAGCACTGGATGGCCGTTTTGTCCTATTATGGGAAACCATTGGATGCCGGCCAGCTCAGTGGTCTAGAGGTTAAGCATTCACGCGTGAGACCGATATATCCTGGATGCACAGTGTTGAGAAGTCCCACAATAGAACGAAACAGTCATTCATCGCTTCCATGGTGGTATAGATTCAATCAACTTATGATCTAAACTATTAAAATTTCTATTTATCAGGCAGAATCTAATTTAAGAAGAACTCTTGTATACCACATTTCAATAACTCAGGGTAATGTCAGTCTATAATCACATATCAGTGATTAACAAAACATATCATGATGTATCCACTATAACTTTATGAAGAATTGATTACGAGGAATTATGAACAAATTGATGAATTCACAATAAGTAAAATACTATTTGCATCAAAGATTAATCTTAAACAAATATCAAAAACTTGAAAGTACTTAAAAGTTATTTCATCCTATTGTGAGATTTCCCGACGGTACACATTCAAGATTCTTATCTAGGATTGAACTCATTTCTTTCGAGTTTTTACCTTTAAACCTTTGAGCTTTTATTCAATAAGTTTCATTTCTAATCTCAGTTAATTTGCATTGTTACATAATCATCTTTCGTTGGCTTTTAGCGGACAACTATCTAACAATGGATTTGGTTGAACTTTGTCACTTTCTTGGTGTTTTGATGATTATCTAATTAAAACCTATCAAAAACATAAACATATTTTACTAAATCAAAAAAAAAGAAAGATATTACTTATTAATATGCACACAAATGTAAAAGTGGATGATTGTTTTGTATCCCTTCCCCCCCCCCCCTCCCCCCAACTTTTCTCTTAAAATCAGTTCCTAATCAACCCCCTTCATTACGTTATCTTCTATACATTTTATTTTATTTTTTTTCTTGAATATAAAGGTACGTCAATATGAATATGATTTAATTTTAAATCCTGATATTAATACAACTACTTATTTACAATGGTTTTACTTTCGTGTATCTAATATGGAATCGAATATTTCATATCGTTTTAATATTATTAATTGTGAAAAAGTAGATAGTCAATTTAATGCTGGTAAGTTATACATTGTGTATCTATAAACTTTATATATATATATATATATATATAGGTGTGTTTTGTTTGTTTGCTTGTTTGTATTAAACGTTGACAAGGTTCTATACCAGTGACTAGTGAGTTCAACCGAGTCTACTGTGAGATAGTAACTCATTGAAGACAATGATGGATGTGTGGCTCAATTTTGTGGGTTAGTTGAAGTTACACATTAACACCGTTGAATGTCGACTAGTTCACTGTTTTACGGTTAAGCACTCGCGCACGAGATTGATAGATCCTACGTTCGAACCTGGCAAGGCGAGATCGTGGATGCGCACAGCTGATGAATCCCATACTAAGACGAAACAGCCATCCAATTCTTGCAGGTTTTCCATGGTGGTCTAACATTTATTTCAACTATTAAAATTCTTTTATAATACAGAACTTGATAGGATCAGTTGACTGATACAGAACATTTCAAATAAGAATTCTTCAATAACTTATTGAATACCAGAGAAAAGTTAAAAGGTTAGGAAACGTTTGAGAATCTAAGAAACAAATATGGAGTAGAACATCTTTATATGCATAGCAACAAATATGATATTGGAATACATAAATGTTTCTTAGATTTATCCATCTATAATGGAAATGTACATTAAGGTTAAGACACTTCAAGATAGAATCAAGACTATATACTATTCAGATACAATTGTAGAAGAAGCACATACATTGTGTTAATCCCTTAAAAGAATATGGATACCATGATAATTCTATAACTAAACCCTTAGCTAAGAAAATGGAGCAAAATGAAGCCTGAACAATATGATACACTCAATGAAATGCTAATGCTAAACTTTCACAGAGTAATTCAAAGAAAACGATTCAACGAGAACAAATCTCTTCTTGAAAACTTCATTTTGTTAAACTGTGGTTAGTTTTATTTGCTAAAATAGTAGTCTGTAGTAAAATAGAATGATGTTGAATACTTGTGGAGAGAACAAATCTGATTCCATCAGAGGAATAAATCAGGAAGAAGTACTGGAATCGGATACGACACATATTGAGGAAAGCACCCAACTGCGTCACAACACAAGCCCTCACTTGAAATCCTCAAGGCCAAACGAAAAGAGGAGGACCAAAGAACACATTACACAGAGAAATGGAGACAGATATGAGAAGAATGAAGAACAATTGGATAGAACTAAAAAGGAAGGCCCATGATAGAGTGGGTTGGATAATGCTGTTGTGCGGCCTATGCTCCATTGGAAGTAACAGGCGTAAGTAAGTAAGTTGAATATTAAAAAGAACAAACTTGAAGTGGTATTTTTGTTTACAAAAATCAAGTACTGAAAAGAGGTTATGTAATAAGTGGCTAATAGAAAATGTTAAGGTGAAGGTAATTGTCCACGTGATAGGTAATATGAACAGAGTAATTAAAAATTGCAATATATTGTTGGGAAAGGGTAGAAATAATAATTTATATAAAAAAACGATAGATTATGTAAGATAGAAAATGACGTTACGACCATGGAAAATGGAGGGTGATCAATCTTGTTAATTTGAACGCTTATTTCGTTTCCTGAGCTATTCTTGAGACCCCCAAGCTAGAACTATACAGCAAACTGAACACGAGAGAGAAGGCACAAAGTATGCGAAAAGTATTTTACTCCAAGGTTCATTCTTGTACAGAAAAATACGGGTATTTATAGATGTTAACATTTGTTAAATCAACATCATATTTTGATCAATCCGCTAAAAGACATATTATGCTACTGACCACGTTGATATTCTAGAAAGCTCCATCGTGCTCTGATTGGCTAAGACTCTTTGGCTCCTTCAGGGCCTCCGGAGGCTCTGTTGCAGTTTTTAGGAAAGCCGACTTAACAGTAATGTGGTCTGTTTGATTGATATATAAACCAAATATATTTCAAATAAATGATTCGTATAGTGGAAGCTGGTATTGGCGTTCTGAACTCAACTGGTGGAAGGGCAAGGGGAACAAAAGACCAATAACGACGCTAGGCTGCACATACCGGTTGAACATCATTAGTTTGGCACAGTACTAAGATTGAATAAGTAGTATTTCGATTGGCGAATAAATTACCTGATAATTAACTAAGCTTAAAGTCACAACAAATAAAGTCATTTTTTATACTTACTTAATCACAACATAGAAGATTTGTAGCACTGCACGTTTAATTTCGTGCAAAAGTAAACGAGGTACTCCCTTAAATCTGATTGATCGACTGGAAGCCGGGAGTACAGTATACTTTCACCTTTTTAACATATAAATTTATGCAAGATAACTTGGCATATCTATCAAACCAACACTAACCATCTTAAGCAAAGACGGACAGTAGTTATTAGTGGAATCCAGGATGTGTATTTCGTCCTATTTGGGACTCCTCAGTTGGACGTACCTACATCTCAGAGTTTATATTCGCTCTGGGACTCGAACACAGTACCGTTCACTTCAAACGCCATCGTTTTATCCACTTAACTATATCTTAATCCTAATTATAAACGATGTGTATGCCCCCCATCCTTAATCATTTGGTGTCATAGTGATATAACTTGCAAAGGTATACATTCATTCTCTTATCTAGCTGTTACATCAAAATACATGCACACAAAATGTATACATCAACCGGCGACCATCTTGTGGTCGTCATGTATCAATGTAAAATACGAAAAATTTAATTTGTTTACAATAGCTAGACATGATCAAACTAATAAGAGTATAATGATAAGCATGAGTTCAAAACAACCGCCATGGATTTTCGACCAATTTTTAGTCAGTTAGAATGCAGATTTTGTAAATGGAAGCAAAAATCATCAATAATATTACTAAGTGTATACAGCGTTCTTTATGTTTAATAAATCCAAGAAAAGTTAACGTGCTTATGAATCGAAAAAGAACAGTGTATAAACTCATCCAGATGGTTATAGATTGTCGTCTTCTTGAACCCTTAAAAAGACTCAAACAGATTTTTAAGGATTCTTATATAGTTCTAAATTATAGATCATTTATTTCATGTTATTACTTACTTACGTACTTACGCCTGTTACTTCCAATGGAGCATAGGCCGCCGACCAGCATTCTCTAACCCACTCTATCATAGTCCTTCCTTTCTAGTTCTATCCAATTGTTCTTCATTCTTCTCATGTCTGTCACCATTTCTTGACGTAATGTGTTCTTTGTCGTGTTGCGTTCTTAATTTTGTTCAATCCATACCTGTACTATACATATAGCATAAAATGTTATTTTAGAGAATTACACTTACATATCACTACTATTAAGTAGCTTATATTGCTTACATTGAATTTGTAACCTTGTAAATCTACAAATGTCTAAGTTATGCTACTGTAATATAGCATAACAATTATAACTTGTTAATAGTATATTCCTCAGTTAGAGAAATATTCCATGAAACCACTGTTTTGAATATCCGAATAAACTTTCAACGACACAGTGAGCCTGAATAGGTCGTCAATATCATCTAGAATTCATACGACGGACTACATGAAGGACAGCTGACAGATGTATTTCAAGTGAAAACCGATGTCATACAAAGCTGATCACTCTCATCTCTTCTCTTCATTCTGGTGGTTGACTCGATTATGAAGACCTCTATATTTGAGGGAAAGCATGGAATACAATGAACAGCTCTGAATTAACTTGACAATTTGGAGTTCGCAGATTACCTAACCCCTCTATCCCTGGGAAGCATCAACAATGAACGTGTAGGATCGGATGCAGACGTAAAGGTGAGGATTGGTTAAGCAAGGACTGCGTTCCTACAATTGAAGTACATATGCGACTTCAAACAACAGTCTGTCAATCAATATCAAAGTCAGAATCTTCAGTACCAACTCCAAGACAGTTCTACTGTAAGGAGCTGAAACTTGGAGAACTACTACAACTATCATCAAGAAGGTAGAAGTATTTACAATGGCAGTCTACGCAAGATACTCAATATCCATTGGACGGATACCATCAGCAACAACAGCAAACCAGCTTTCATCTGAAATAGAAATTAGGAAAGGACATATATTACTGAAATCACCAAACTACATCACGAGACAAGCTCTGACTTGGAATCCTGAAATTAAACGGAGAAGAGGGAAACCAAAGAACACATTGCATAGAGAGGATAACATCGAAAGAATGAATAGCAATTGGAAACAACTGGAAAGGAGAGCCTAAAACAGATTTAATTAGAGAATGTTAGTGGATGATGGCCTATGCTATTCCACGAGGGGTAACACGCATAAGTAAGTAATATCCGATTGAATTCTTTCAAAAGCACTGTGTTTTGAAGATTAAAGTCTTTTTTAACTACAATTAATTTCTAGGTATGCAGCCTCTTCTTTTCTCAGTTCATGAATCACTTCAATCTCATCCATGCTGGCGACGTGTTGGTTCAAATATTATTTATTATAGAAACTATTTTACTCGCCAATCAACTCGTAAATGTAAGTATATATGTATATATACATAATTCATTGTGGAAGTGTTTGTTGGTAAGGCTATTGATGATAGAGCCTACAATATTGAAGTAACCATCGAATTCACTACACATTCAGTATACATTTATTCTCATCTCTCATTTGATCGATTGATTGATTGACCGTGTTAACTAGCAATTCCACTCAATCGATGATGTACAAACTAGAAAATCATGAGAAGTACTTACATTATTGTCATTCGAAACATCTCAGGTCATTGTGTTACAGATAGAGATAGACCTTCATGAGTAACAGCAGAAATTTCTTAATATTTTTGAATGTATAATTCCAATTAGTTGACTAGCTTTACTTCATATTCTTTATTTCACAGCTTATTCAGTGGTATAAATTAAGCGATTACAGACAAAGAGGCATGATTCATAATTCTCAGTCAGATACTGAAAGGGGTTAAAATCTAATAATATCTCGCTGTTTTTGGCAAGATTTTAGTTGTTTTCCCACCGTTTATTATTTCTGTTCTGTAAGAACTCGAGGTATTGAAACTACTTTATGCATAAGTACAATTTTTCTGTAGTACAGTTAAAAGCCAATACCATCTGCTTGCTCTATGTTTGCTTTTCTTCTATGAAAGGGATTCTGGATCTGCTATTTTAAACAATGTTTGTTGGTCAGTCTTATAACCATAATTTTTCCGTCCTGATTAGCTTGGTTAAGTCTTGTGGTAGTGGTGGTCAGTTCGTAAGATGTAGTATTTTGTTATGATTGATAACCTTACAATGAACCACCGTATGTGCATCCAACTTTTGGCAGGTTCTCTATAAGCTACATGTTTAATAAGGTTTATTGAGTGATATCAAGATACACAAAAGCAATCTACTTATCGGTTTGAACAGAAGCATATTTCTAGCGATTATGTTAATCAGTGCTGTTAGAAGCTACGATCATCTTAAATATAAAATGATAAACAATGCACATCGTTGAATGTAACCAATTATGCGTCCATTCAAGGTCTCCGCTAACGTGTCCTTGTCTATGTTGGAAGGAAGAATTTATACACACTAATAAGATTTGTACATATTGTAAAACACGACTATTGATAGGAAGAATGTATATTGCGAGAAGTTACAGGGTATTTGCATAATATACATACATAGCCTTCGCTCGTTCACTTAGATCTTCTAGTGTGTCCCACAATCTGGACTGTCTTCTCGACTGGCCTCCAAGTGCTCTACCAACAGCATGCTTTCAATGCACTGAAATTTTTCATTATTATTTGGTTTGCTTCCTAATCGTTTCTCAATCTTCGCTCTCCCTAATCTATGATTGGACAAGTTTATAGGAAATGTGTTTATCTATGGCTAAATCTGACGACCTTAGAGCGTCATAGTCAGAACGTTGAATAGGTCTCTCATAATCCAATGTATCTCTAATTTAGTGATTAACTTACATGATACACTTTCATCATTGTTGTTGTTTTTTCAAGGTAATTTGGATGGTGGAACATATTATACAGCTACATTTACAATATGCTTTCCATATACTGGTGATGTCTGCTATCTTGCTTATCATTATCCATATACTTATACACGTTTATTAACTGATTTAAACAAATGGCAAAATAAAGTATTAAACCAACCAAACAATATTTACTTTCGTATTCAACAGTTAACTTCAACTATCCTTTCCAATCCAGTTCCATTAATTACAATAACACAAACTTCGGACTCTTCAGGTGAGCGTTTATTTAGAAATTAATTATCCTATACAAACTAGACAACCAATGAATATTATAAAATATCGGACATTTGCTTCATGCTATAATGGTACTCTTAAATGGCTGTATGTATTCACGATCTATCCAGGTCAATGATCTGAGACTTTTATGTTTCGTTGTAAGCACTTAAACTATTGGATTACTGAGATTAAATGTCTAATTTCAGTGGATCCGTGGTATTGCGAAAGCGCCTTCCATTACCATTTAAAGGCAATTCCCTAACGCTCGATGTTGTTAAACTTCACTGGCAATGGTTTCTAATTAAAGCTATGTAGATTACCTCTTGAAATAGGTCGCTAGTGAACAAACGATAATTTAAACATCAAGGTAATATGGAGGTGATACGCACAGTATGCGCATATGCCAATAAGACACTAATCAATTTCAGTTCTAAACATCAATCGGAATATTTAAGTAAAAGAATATCAAGTGGATTAAACTTCACTCCATTGCATAAACAAGCGGCTATCAGGATTCAGTAGTTAAGTGGATAACATGATGGCGTTTGGAGCGAACGGTACTGGGTTCGAGTCCCAGAGTGAACATCAACTCAGATGCATGTACATCCAGCTGACGAGTCCCAAATAGGACGAAACGCGCGTCAAACTGGATTCCACTGCTAACCGCTATCCATCTTTGCTTATAATCAAGGAAGATAGTTGTACCATTTCGTGAATAGGTTGAAGTTAGTGACTCAAACCAATGAATGATGAAGCAGTAGTTTATAGGTTAACTATTTGCCACGCGTTTAAAACTCACTTCACTCGTGGGTGCCCGCTGCCTCTTGGGAATTCTATATTGAAATAAAACAACTGTCCAGTTCCTCTTTATTTTAAATGTATGTTTAACCAAAATCAATTCATGATCCAAATGATAGTTTTATTCATTCTAATACTTTTATCTTGAATGATATGGCTCAAAATCGTTTGCAATGACACAGGTGCATCTACTCTTTGTGTTCTACCGATTTCTAATCTTCTGAATTCTTCATATCCGATTTTTCTCTTTCCACTAGATTATACTTCCTGAGTAACATCGTCAAACCCTAATCTTTCCAATTACTGCTTATACTTTTACTACCTCTATCACTTTGGGATTTGGATCAACAATTGTATCTCCATGCTAATGTGGTTTGGCAACTTGAACTGATGTTATTATTTATTCATTTATTAACTTGAACACATAGATAATGGTACAATGGGTCCCCATATACATATGCGACATACAAATCTCATTTAATTTGTTTGAGGACTGCGATACTGCCTGGGTGCCCAAAGCGAAGCAGGTGGTTTTCTTAAGGGGCCACGCTCGGAGCCTTCGACCAAAAGGTCTTGTCCACAGGGCGGTGGAACAACTTCAAGAGACGCAGTTCCATTATAGCCTCTGACCAACGATTGGTTCATAATTGATTTGTTCCCTCAGGATACTGGAGCCCATGTGCACCACTGATTTGGAATGAACTCTCCTTGTCCACCAACCCGGTTAAAACGCCGTACATTTGCTTTTCGTCCTCTTAATTTCGTAAACAACACCTGTGGTTTGAGAAGGCAGTGAGTATGACTCCCCTAGCAGAGGCTATATACGCGTGGCCATGTGAGAGCATTTGGTGAGAGAGAGAGAAAAAGCGAACTCGTCCCACTATCGGCCGTACCAGGGCATTTGAAGGAATGTACGTACGTACATAGTTCTACGTTGCTAACTGACTGACTGACTGACTGACTGACTGATTAAATTTTATTAAAATGTATGCGATTAACACATTTGTATGTTATCCAGTCTCCTCTTGAATTCCTTTTGCATGAATCCTTATTACATAATTTCTCAATATTTCTATTCATATATCTAATCGTTTTTCTAACTTAGATAAATCTACAAATATCAATCAACGTCCTTACATCATTCTTACATGTCGTGTACATCCAGGTGAATCAAATTCTAGTTGGATAATAAAAGGTTTAATTGAACAATTATTATCAAATAATGATATAAAAATCAATAAATTACGTAATATGTTCATTTTTAAAATAATCCCTATGTTAAATCCTGATGGTGTTATTGTTGGAAAGTGAGTATTATTCAGTTGTCAAGGCAAATCATAATGAGATTATAATTTATAAATGAACCAATCAGAATTAAAATAACAGATCTTGAATTTTTGGCGCGAAATTCATTCATCTATTTGGTTAAATAGAGTTTTATCAGTTCGTAATGAAAAAACTGTAGATCTAATTCTTAACCCTAACCATCAATTTTGAATCATAATATTTATTCTTCAAACTGTTTTGTAACCTTCGTTTAGCCCTGGTAACTAGGTAGACACTATCAAGGTCAATTTGGCGTCACTCAAAGCTCATCCATAGATTATAGTCTCATCAAAATTGTTTTATTTAAACCTGAAATGTTATTATTTTATTCGACAACTGTGGATCTTTAGACTATAGTAAGTGTTTGAAATGTACTTGATCTTATATAACTGATTCAAGCTTGAAAGATACAACGTCTAAACGACCTGATATAGGATGTCAGATTAGATACTTCGCCAAGCCCTTAGGTCGGAAGATAGAAAGTAGACAATTGATCTAATCTCTACACATTCAACTCAGAAATTTATTTGATTAAATACACTATTAATAAGAAACCGTAACATGTATCAAACTGGTACATTTAAGAAATAAAATTGAAATGGTTTAAGAACAGATTAATATGAATACCAATGTTTCCTGTTATTTCTACGGAAAAAAAGGTAGATTTCTTGAATAGTGTTGAATCCTATGTGATCGGGTTATAATGACTGGAAATCAATTGTATGATTTCTCCCTCTGGTCTGAACATCGATTAGTTCACTTATATTTCCAGTAGGATCAATGACTGATTTACTAATTGACACATTGACTAATAAACAACAAGTAAGACCCTAACGCTTATTGGTCCTCGAGCTCCTTCGAACTCCAGTGTCCAATTAGACGGCGGAGATGGGAAGTAGATCAGTTCATTATTGTATTCTATCTAATCATAACTCAAACTTAATAATATACTTGAAGTATCTGACTAAACAACGAAACTAATTGGGAATTATAAATGATGCCTAAGTTAGTCATAAGTGATATACAACCGGAGTAATTAATTGACGATAATAAGATACGAAAACGATTTCTGAGTTAAACGAAAGCTAAGAAATAAGAAGATGTGATATATGTCAGTCTAAGATTCTACTAATCATATAACAAAAATATGGTTATCTAGCTTAGATCGACTCATGAATTCAACTGTTACTACAATCTCCACAAATCCCCACTCTGATAATGATTATATACTCTCTAGTGACTAGCTTCAAGTTGTATTTCCTGGAGCTCTCGTTGAGAAGCTGTGACAAATGGAGTCCAATTTGTGTTGGGTATGAGACAGTTAACCACCTCAAATAATAGATAAAAGATTACGCGAGATGATAGATCAATTGAAGTTAAACATTAACACTGTTGCATGCCGGCTCAATGGTCTAGAGGTTAAGCGAGACCGAAAGTGTGGGATCATAGATGCTCACTACCGAGGAGTGTCACAATAGAACGAACCAGTCGTCCAATGCTTCCAGATTTCCAATGGTGGTCTAACATCAAACGGTTTATGATTTCAATCAAATACTTTATAGTTACACAGTTTTTATTATTTTTGTTTGACTGATTTCATTTCTTCTGTCATACATATATCTATATATCTATAATGTTTCTTCTATGAAGTCATCGATGTTCAATATCTGGTCAAGATTTAAATCGTCATTGGATTAATCCGTCATCTTTAATTCATCCAACTATTTATCATACTAAAATGCTAATGGAATTTCTTACAGTTTGTGAACGTTCACCTTATGTAAGTTGGTGTAATATATATGTTGATATATGTTATGTAATTGATTGTTTAGTTCATTTGTACATGTTGTAATAACTTGTGGGCCTGAGTGCCCTGTTAATGGATAAGTAATGATACCGCCAATTAGGGAGCAGTGACTTATCGATCAGATCAGTGACGCGTGAGCACGTACGACGGGCATAGAGTCCTGATTGGTCCTGCTTCCCGCCTAGCCTAGCCAGTTAAGTCCAGAACACCGATCTGAGCCTCTGCGATATAAATCGTATACTTCAAACATACTCGGTTTATATACACCAATCAAACAGACCACAACGTACCATAAAATAGGAAACAATGTTTGTACAAGATTTGGCTAAATGTGGCTGTGAATGTTAGAGGTAGTAATTGATAGACAGAGCATAATTCAAGAATGGTAAATCGTATAATCATAGTTCATCGGTCAAAATAAAGCTCATATTAAAAGGGATATGAATATGAATAGTTGAGTTACATAACAATTATACGCTAAAAATATACGCATATTATTGGTCCATAAATGGATCCCAAAGTTACCATTTATTATGATTATCAGGACATAACATATGTACAGTTTTGATAATTAATCAGATCAGTTAAACTGAGGAAGAAATCAGTTTCATCTCTGAAGTTGTATTATCAAATCAATGTGCTTACAACTAATCTATGTTTATAGATGATAAACAAATTGATTCCCCTTATGGATATGTCAATAGTAGTAATGCTACCTAGATAAATAATTATATGGTGGTTGGAGGTAGTCGACAGGAAACCCTGGACGCGGGTTTCGTGCTACTTGGCACTCGTCAGCAAGGTGTACCTTTAACCTTGAGGGGACTGGTGCTCTCTGACGGATTCGGTTCCGTGTCACCCAGCTTCACAGTCAGAGACGCTACCACTGAGCTATCCGGGCCGCGACAGACCCCCTGTAGGACTGAGATGTAATCACAATTGATTGATCACTGGGTGATGATCAATGTCATGTGTGTCAAGTCCTTATTAGTGCAGATTGAATGCTATCGACCAAGTTGCAATGTGGTCACCAGTCTAGGTGATTCGAAACTACGTGAAGTATTGTGTGATTAGATGGTGGTTGGAGGTAGTCGATAGGAAACCCTGGATCCGGACATTGATCATTACCCAGTGATCAATCAATTGAGATAAATAATTCATATATTCACTAATAGCTTGTTGACGTCTATATTTCAGTCAGTGGACAATCTTATGTGATCTGTTGGAGGAGATTCAGAAAACTCCTCGAAAAAACAGCTAATAAAAGCCTTTGAAAACACTAAGAAGCATTTTATCCAATCAGCGTTCAGTAGGAGTTTTGCCGGAAACATCTAAAAGTTGGAAAGGCATATTTCCAGTTTCTGATTAGATGATTATTCATTCTGCTACTATGTGTAGTAGCATTCTAGAATTTTCGGGCAAACTCAAGGGCATCTTAAATACAATAAAAACACTATATTTTCTGTACATGAATGAACCTTGGGAGTAACGAGATTTCTTGCATATTTCTCGGTTTTTCTCTAGTGCTCAAGTCACTGTGTAGTTCTAACTTGGGGGTTACTAGAACAGCTTAGGAACCGAATATATCATTCAATTAGAAAGACTTATCAGGATCAAGCTTTTGTTAAGAATTTGGAAATACTTTCTACCATTCTTTTGATTGTTAGGTTAGATTCTTACGTGTTATCCTTGCACTTATGAGAAATATCTCTATGTTCTTTGGAGTCTTATTTTATTACTAATACGTAAGCCTCCCAAATATGAGCCAAACCGAAGTTTATTGACTAAGCTATATGGTGTGTCTTATCCCTTGGAGAGACAAATCGTTTCTTGTCTAGTTGCGTGTACTTATCATTTAGCTGATTCCCGACTGGTCCAGTGTATCAGGAACAATGACAAATTTTTAAAGCCGATCTATATTACTTATCTTTTAATATACTACTAAGATGACAAGCTACAACGCCAAAATAGTAACTAAATTTCTATTTATGTAATCATATTTCTCGTTTGAATTTTGTATAGAGTCGTAAGTGATCACTAATTACATCACCCATATTTGAATGGAACCGGGTGTTCAGAGCTTCTTAGCTAACAATGACTCTTCAGTAGATGTTAGTGTATTATACAAACCTATCCTACAGTTAACTGATTACTAAGTAGTGACTAATGTTATGTATGACAAATCATTCTTAGAGCTGATAGAATACTGTTGATTATGTTGCAAAGTGGGCACTAGTCTGAGTGAATCAATATTGTGTGCACTATGTTTTATGGTAAGGTAGGTGATAGTTGAATATAAACAACGTCTCCCAATCACTTCACAAATCTTCTCTATGTATTATTCAACTATACTTGTGATATGATAAAAAAAAATGATTAGTTTATGCTGTTATACATAATCTACTACTTAATAAATCTTCGTCTATTCAATCGTCGTTTTCTTCTCAATGGATACTTTGATTTGGCTGAATAAACTGTTTGACTAAACTCTGATTATAATTTTTCTAGATTTCTAAGTTAGTACTGTGATACTACCTGGGCGCTCAAACCAAAGCGAGTAGTTTTCTTAGGGGGCCACGCCCAGAGCATTCAACCTAAGATATTCGATCTCAGGCTCGAATCCTACGTGCAGGATTGTGGATGTACATTACTAAGGAGTCCCATACTAGAATAAACTGGTCGTCCAGTGCTTTAAGGTTTTAAATAGTGATGTAATATTTGTCGATTCATGATTTCAACTAAAAAAGTATTATTTCTATTAATCGATATATGCTTAGTGTTTCTACTTTAGTCATTAAGCAGTTGTTTCTTGAAAGATACATACTCCCTTATTTTATCCATCTATTCACAACCTTTGAGCAGAAATAAATATATTAGAATATTTCACTACTTGAAACGATGAGTCAGTTGAAGCTAGACCACCATGAAAGACCTGGAAAAATTGGATGGCCGTCTCGTCCTAATATGGGAGTCCTCAGCAGTGCGTGTCCACGATCCCGCCCCCCGTGAGATTTCAACCCAGGACCTATAGGTCTCGAACGCGAGCGCTTAACCACTAGGTCACTGAGCTGGCCGGCATCCAACGGTGTTTTCAATTAGTGAAATTTCTAAAATCTCCACAAAACCCCTTCTGATAATAATCATCTGCTCACTAGTGACCGACTTCAAGAGACACTCTTGGAGTTCTATTGTGAAGCCGTGACCAGTGGAGTTCAATCAGGTCTGTTGTGAGATATCAGCTCACTGAAGACAATGGTGTACGGTGGAACGATTTCGTAGATTGGTTCAAGTTAGACACTAACACCGTTTGATGTCGGACAGCTCAATGGCCTAGGGGTTAAGCGTTCGTGCGTGAGACTGATAGGTCTTGGATTCGAATCTAGCGGTGGGGTGGGATCGTGGACGCGCACTGCCACGGAGGACTCCCATACTAGGACAAAACGGCCGTCTAGTGCTTCCAGGTTTTCTATGGTGGTCTAGCTTCAATTGACTCATGATTTCCACTAGTGAAATTTCTAAAATCTCCACAAAACCCCTTCTGATATTAGAATATGTTATGTAATATTAAGAGTAGTAGCATTACATTTTTCATTCAACTACTTTACGAAGTATTTGTCAAAATATTGTTTATATTCCCTTGAAGCGGAATATTATGATTGAGTGTATATCATAGTAACTAACTGAATTCATTCATATACTGTGAATATTCTGATTGAATTTGACTTTCAACTTTTGAAAATCAATACATTTCATAAAATGATACATCAGTTCCCGTTGCTAATCGTAATATTATTTACGCTTCTGTCTTTTTTTTGTTTCTTTCTCGTTTTGTCTCTCATTTGGTTGTTTGTTTGTGTGTGTGTGTATGTGTGTTGTATGTATGTATGTATGTATGAGTAGATTTTCATTGATTTCCATGGTCATTCACGTATGAAGAATATTTTCTTATATGGATGTAGTTCAATGGAATCATGGTTATGTCCAGATATAAATAATCCAGCTTATCGTGGTTTAAATCAATTAGAAGATAATTCATATCGTAGATTAGCTAATATATTAAATCAATTATCACCATATTTTTCAAAACAATCATGTTTGTAAGTTAATTTTTGTTGCTATGCTTATGTATATATACATACCACGTATTCATTAAATTGTTACCATAGTGTTTGTGAATATTATTGAATTTTGTAAAAATTACATCATGGTTAGACAACCATTCTTCGATACAACACAGCATGTACCAATCCAATCACAATTGACGGAGAAGCTTTGGAAGATGTTAAAACCTTTACATATTTGGGCAGTATCATCGATGAACACGGTGGATCTGATGCAGATGTAAAGACACGGATTGGCAAAGCAAGAGCAGCATATTTACAACTGAAGAATATCTGGAACTCAAAACAATTAGCAACCAACACCAAAGTCAGAATTTTCAATACAAATGTCAAGACAGTTCTACTGTATGGGGCGGAAACCTGGAAAACTACGAAATCCATCGTCCAAAAGATACAGGTGTTTATTAACAGTTGTCTACGCAAAATACTTCAGATCCGCTGGCCGGACACTATAAGCAACAACCTACTGTGGGAGAGAACAAATCAGATCCCAGTGGAGGAAGAAATCAGGAAGAAGCGCTGGACGCGGATAGGACACACATTGAGGAAAGCACCGAACTGCGTCACAAGACAAGCCCTCATATGGAATCCTCAAGGTCGAAGGAGGAGAGGAAGACCAAAGAATACATTACGCCGGGAAATGGAGATAGATATGAGAAAAATGAACAAGAATTGGATGGAACTAGAAAAGAAGGCCCAGGACAGAGTGGGTTGGAGAATGCTGGTCGGCGGTCTATGCTCCATTGGGAGTAACAGGCGTAAGTAAGTAAGTGAGTAAGTAAGTAGACAACCATTAAGAAACTAAAAGACAATGAGCACTTGTTTCATTCTAGTGTTGAACATCTCGGCAACAAGGATTTACGATCCTCCCCCCCCCCCAACATACACACATCACCACCACCGCCACCAAAACAATCGAATCGTGGATCATAGAATTTTCATTTAACTATTGGATCATTAAGTAATTATCCTAAAGTTTATATGTTTGATTGTAACCACTTCTTAATATTACACAAATATCATCTTTTGTGATATCATTGGTGAGTAATTGCCTTACATTTAATATGGTTGAACTCAAGTGGCATGTGACTAATAACCCCTTGTCTAAATATCTAACGACATTAGTGAGTACTCAGAGTTTTCCTAGCAAGGCTGTTTTGTACGAGGTGTGGTTTCTGACTATATGTCTAACTCTCCTCCCTTACCCAGGCTTGACACCGGCAGTGACCCTAGAAGAGCTACAGAAAGAATTATAAAGTAGAGTAGTTATAAACAATTGTCTACGTAAGATACTTAATATCCGTTGACCGGTAACCATCAATAACAACCTATTGTAGAAGAGAACAAACCAACTTTCATCTAAAAAGGGAATTAGGAAAGGACTCTGGAAGTAGAATAAACATACATTGCGAAAATCATCAGACTGCATCACAATACAAGCTGTAACTTGAAATCCTGAAAAGAATTAAATAAGAGGAAGACCAAAGAACACATTGCATTAGGAATCGGAAACATACATCAAAAGAATGAAAAATAACTAGAAAGAATTACCGAGGATAGAATTAAATGCAGAATGCCGGTGATCGACCTATGCTCCTCCATGAAGAGTAGTAACAGGCTTAAGTAAGTAAGTAAGTAAGTAACTAAGTAATGGTCGATTACTTTAACTATACAAAAGTTTGTTTATTTATCTATTTTCCTTTTTCTATAGTTTAAAATGCATCATTTTATGGATATGCTTAAAATGATGTTCTCTTTATGTTAACCGTTAGATACTTCATATGGGATTTATTCATTATCTATAAGATAATTCAATGTGTCAATAAAGTTTGTTTATTCCGATTTGTACAATCTATGTACGTGAGTGTGTGTGTGTGTGTGTGTGTGTGTGTGTGTGTGTAAGGGAGGATTAATCGATGAACTAGTTTTAGGTCATAAACCATGAACAGGAATATATTTCTAAATACTTTATAATTCAATTCAAATCTTCCTTTAGGAGTTAAACCCTAATAGTCATATACAAACTTTTCGAAATTCTAACCCATTCATTAAATTGAATAGTTTCTTCTTTGAATTGATTTAAGATGTATTTCCTTGGAGTTCCTGGTGAGAAGCCGTCACCCGAGGAGTTCAATCCATGTCAGGTGTGAGATAGTTATCTACCTCAAACAATGGATGAAGGGTTAAGCAAGATGATAGATTGATTAAGGTTAGACATTAACATTGTTGAATGCCAGTTCGATAATCTAGAGGTTGAGCGTTTTCATGGGAAACCGACGGTCCCATACTATGACAAAACGGCCGTCCAGTGTTTCTACGTTTTCCAGGATGGTCTAGATTATGAATTCAACCATTACTCATATTAAAATGTCACATTAGTTTGAGTTCTATCAATGTTGAATTATTTTTATAATCCAAATCTAATCCCTTCCTTATAGTTACCTTCAGAATCTCTCAAGTTCATCCACATTAGTTAGTCTTGTTATATTTATAAATTTTAAGTCTTTTTGTTGTTAAATGTTTCCAAAATTTACTTAACTCTAAACAAGCATCAAACTACATGTTACTGACATCTGAATTTCGCACAAATATCCGACAGTCACTACTTTCAATGTAATTGATTTGTTCATATTGTAATGTCCGGCAGGCGCTTCAACCAGATTAGTGAATATAGAGGATCCATCTAGGAGCGTTGAAAAATCCGTATTGCAAATCAATAATGTACATGAGCTATAGGATCCTGAATGAACAAATAGCGTATGAACCTATTATCAGTCACCGACTACCATTGGACTGCATCCCCTGACATTGCTCCATTACCTTGGGGATCAGACGTTTAAGTCGAAGGCTCCGAATGTGGCCCCCTAAGAAAACTATCTACTTTGGTCTAATCATCCAGTCAGTATCACAACTCACACACAAATCCAGTGACTTGTGTAGTGACCAGTGTATTCGGTACCCCTTTTTTAACCAATAAAAATAATTTAACCAGCGCATTTGTCTAAATTTTTTATTACTTTTTCATGGTATAAATCACGAATCAATTCGAGCTAAAGCAATATTGAAACCTAGACTTACTGGACGACCTTTTCACCCTATCGTGGTACTCTTTAGTCTCAGTCTACAACTAAAGACCATTTACCGGGGAATGAACCCTTTGATGTAACGTGTCATTCGTTAACATCTATATCACCAAGCTAACATTCAATGGTTTTAGTGTTTATCTTTAAACACTACCCATAATATTTCTTGCTCAACCTTGATTCATCTTATTTTTATCATTTCAGATATATGGTTAATAAAGCTAAAGAGACTACAGCACGTATAGCTGTTTGGCGACAATTCAATGTATTACGCTCCTATACAATTGAAGCTTCTTATTGTGGTATTCGTCGTAAATGGTATGGAAATCAATTAATTCCAAGTAAAATACAAGGAGAACAACAGCATGGAAATGATAACAGAACAGTAAAAGAAAAACATTCAAATGAATCTGGGATAGTGATGATTGAACATCAAATAAGACCAATTGATTTAATGAATTTTGGTTCACAATTATTAAATGCATTTTTATGGTTATCAGAAGAAGAAACAACAATATTAATGTCAAATACAAATAAAACAGTTTCATCTATATCTTTATCACCATCTTTAATGACATCTTCCATGTCATTATTCAATGTATCTTCCCCTGAGCATCCATTATCATCATCATCCCATGATACAAACATTATGCCTCAGTATGATGAAGATGATACTGACGTTTACGATGATGCTGATGAGAATAATAATAATAATAATAATAGTAATAATGTAAATGAGAAATCTCAAGTATCTTCTAAATTTCATTGTAATAAAAGAAAATATCAATCTAAGTTAAAGAAGTTGAAACAACATGACAACAACGTGACAAATAAAAAGTCACAAAATAACTTCGATTATGTTCCATTCGTTTAGTATAATAAAACCGGATTGTGTTCTTTATTCATGATCCAACTATTCATCTTTCTTCTTCATGAATCAATATCATGATCATGATATAGATATAGAAGAATGGTAATGGTAATAAAGAGAACTAAATGAACTATAGATAAATAAAGAGTATCATGTCACTGAGAAGGAAAAGTTTAACTTTTTCATCATCTAATTGTATATTTTCAAATGTTTTCATATCATTGAATCGATATTCAAACCGAATGTTATAAAATAAGCATTTATTTGAAAATTACTGATATTCAGTGTTCCTTAAACAAGAGATATACTATTTCCTTTTAAATTTGGATTATTTTTTTGTTTTTCATACTTTATCTACTTTTAAAATTTGTAAGTAGTACAAATATTGTTTTAGATTTTTATTGATCTTTTAGTTTTCCATAAATATTATATTTTTTAAAATCTGAATAAATATATGATAACACTTGTTACGCTGGTAACTTGTTTGAAGGAATGTACTATTGTAATGAACTAGAGGATAGACCAGGACAATCAAATGTATTTGAATACAAAATTACAAAATGTCAATTAATACTTTCAAACTTCATTGTTCTTTCGTTTAATTTGTGGAAGAAGCAAGAAACGAACTCATTTGTCACTTTGTTACTTATATATCGGGATAAATATTGAGCAAAATCAACGTTTGAGATGGCCTCATCTGAAGTTAATAGTTGTATAATTCTATTGTACTTCTATCGAAAGTTTAATTTAATAATTTCAGTGTCAACCGAAAGCTCACGTACAGGTGAGTGAAAACTATACAATAAAATCACAAAAATATCAACATACTAGCTGAACCACCGAGGTCAGACATAGAAGTAACTGTAAAGATGCTCCACGTCCTATTCAGAAAGACTGGAGCGATAGAAAAAGTGTCACTGACAGACTGAAAAAAGGATATCTCATCAAGATCCCAAAGAAAGGAGATGTGAGTAAATGTGAGAACTAAAGACGCATCACACAACTGTCAGAAACAGGAAAAGTTTTCAACAGTGTTGCTGAACCAGATGAATGATTCAGTAAACGCCCAACTTCGAGATCAACAGGCAGGATTCCGTAACGATTGGTCGTGCACAGACAAAATCGCGACATTATGGATCATCGTTGAGCGATCGATTGAATGGAACTCGTCACTATACATCAACTTCATTGACTATGAGAAAGCGACTGACAGTGGGGATAGGAGAACCTTATGGAATCTTCCTCGACACAATGATGTACCTGAGAAGATCATCAACATTCTCCGGAATTCATCCGACGGACCTAAATAACTACAAAGTCGTCCATAGAGGACATCTGACAGATGCATTCCAGGTGAGGACTGGTGTCAGATAAAGTTGCTAACTTTCTTCCCTTTTCTTTCTTATTTTAAAAGATACATATTATTTGTTTTTAATCTCAAATGTTTGGTTGAATCAAGCTTCATTGTGAAGTACGAAATCTGATGTAAATGTTATCATTTAAACAGCTATGTGAAATTAAACGCCTAAAATCTCTTTCATTGTTTGCTGTGAACTCACAATCTAATGAACGGGAGGATATCTTGTTGAATGTGAAACAGCATAATGGGTTTGTTTTTCATGAAATTGCTATGAAAGTAAAGATTCAGGTGTGTTTTATGGTTTATTAATGGTTGATACTAACGTATCTTCACATCAACCTGTATTACTAAATATGAAAATCAGATTTATTTTTCAGAATGAAAAACGATAGGTGAGAACAATAAGACATGTCAATTCAAGATTAAACGATCAATGAGAAATGTCGGTGCAAGGTCATTCATGAAGAACAAGTGACAAATGTATTTCAAGTGAACACGTGTATCAAAAAAGACTGTTCGCCATCACACTTTCTCTTCCGGTGGTTGACTGAATTGTAAGACTTCGACTGTGAGACTTTTATTTACTAACGACCTTTGAGCAACACTGGGCTGGTCTTGATGGTGTCCACATAACAACTAGTGCCAGATGAGGGTTATAAACCTGTGTGATGAGTTGGGATCATAATCTACAGCTGATGATTAAGGCTAGGAACTAGATTTCGGGTTTTCATCACGAACTGCCATCGGCTTTAATGTCAAAACTATATTTAGTCAAATAAATGAATGAATTTCCCGCCAATATCCGAGACCTGTTATTTTATATTTGATTGGTTTATCCATAAATTATAGTCGCGCCGACCTCGACATCTAAGAGAAAGCACGGAATACAATGGACAGCTCGGAATCAAATAGACAATTCTGACCTCGCAGACAGTCTGGTCCTTCTATCACATACATACGGAAAAAAGCAGATGAAGACAACTAGTGTAGCTGCAGCCCCTGCATCGGTAGATCTCAACATGCATAAGGGGTAAAGCAAGATCCTCAAATAAAACGCACAAAATATCATCTTAATCACACTTGATGGAGAAACTGTGGGACAGGTGGGAACTTTCACGCATCGACGGCCTGCTCGAATATCTGGGCTACCTGTTCCTCCCATCTAGATATTTCGTCGAGTTATCTGTTTTCTTGTTTGTTTTAACACACTATTATGTCTATTGAGCTCACAACCTATTCAGGTGCGTTTATGAAAAGTTTACAATCTTTCGCTGTACGGATTACAAAAAGGTACAACCAGCAACATCATGGTGGTTTGCAATATGCATTGAAACGAATGAACATTATTCAGATGTCGATTATCGAGCTCCTAACATCTAACTGGCCATCACTCAATATTTATCGTCAGGATCGATCAAGATATAAGAAAAGAAAACTTGTTGAAATACTTTATGCTGAAAATTCAATATTGTACCAAAAATATAATGTTGAATAAAGCTTATAATAATAATAATAATATATATATATATATCTGAGTAGCACCGGCGCTGAACGTGTTGGATCTGATGCAGGCGTAAAGCCAATGACAGCATTCCTACATCTGAAGGACATATTGTACTCGACAACTGTCAACCAATACCAAAGTTAGAATCTTCAATAAAAACGTCAAGTTCCATGATCAGACCATCCAGCTCAGAGAAAGAATTCCATCAAAATCATTCACCTGAGCAACAAATCTCCACAGTCTCATTATCTTCTGCCGCATTGCAAGTATCAACAGATTGTGAGGAGATTTATAACGGAGTTAAACCATTACTATAATCATTATAAACTGCAAAACATTTCTGATCTACTGATACGAATTCAACGCAAGTATTTTGAGTTTTATACCATGTGAATGTGAGTTACTTTATACCACTATCCAAATTATGGACAATGTTTCCGGAATAATCACCCATACTAAATGGAACAGCTAGTATGGGATTCGTCATAGTCGTGGCCAAGTATGGTTTGACACAGATGACTCATAAGAAAAACAAATTAACATATTTACATGAGAATTCACAAATATTTTCATACACGTGGACCACAGAAAATTAGAAAGAGGATTAGGTGATTGTTAGAAATACGAACAGTGGCAATATGACCACTATTGCATTGAAAAGTTCGTGAAAGACTGTCAGCTGTTGAAAAATATCGTAATTCTATTTAATGGCCCAGAGTCAGACGGTAATCTAACGGAAATCAGATAAATGGCCAAGTGACAGACTTTGTATCCCCTGTCGAAAAGCTACTATCCCAACGAAAACTCGCCGCTTGTATAAAGGCTAGGCCCCTCGCTAATACAGATCTTCATATCAGCATACTTTGTGGGGAAAAATACAATTATGTCTCGGGGAGTATAGGATTATGGTCATCAAAATTTGAAGTTTCACACAACATTTTGTTCCGTCAAATGGACTGAAAGTACAGCTGTCTAAATGAATATAGGAATCAATCTGCATCGGGATTTCGAGATGTCTGAGTGAACTGCGGCGGCTAAGAAAAACCTCATAGTCACTTCACAAAAAAGCCGTAGTAGTTATCAAGCGGTATAGATGTGGATAAATCAATCAAATCTGACTTTTTCTCACTACATCATCCGTTACACCTAATGACAAGTGAGTATCACTGTTCATCATTTGAAATCGAGAGGACATAACCTGTGTTTTTCGGTCCTATTAGTCACATCCATTGGTATGAAAACTGAGTTAGTCCAAAGGGCAATGACAATCGAAAACGTACAATTCAATATCAATTGGCTCCAATCATAAACCATGACGACGAGAACTGAGAGGATTGTCATACAAAACATACAAAACTGTTCAATCGAAAGTATAGACTAAACTTCCAGTCTACCTTACAGTGTCATTAATGTTACATTGCTTCCCCCTCTTTTAAGCGTTGTCTTCAGTCGCTTTCAATAATTTACGCATAAAAATTTCTCTATTTTCACTTTTGCAATGAAAAGAACAACAAGCATAGTATTATTTCGACAGAAATACAACAGTAATTTAACAACCATATCGGAGCACAAAACGTAATGAGAAGTCATAACAAGATAAAGGTTAATTTTTCCTTCTTCACTTCGATATCTGTAAAAAATAAAAAAACAAACTCCTAAACCAATCTATTCAAAAAAATAACTTAAATGTAAACGTTAGTGGACCATATAACATTTAGAACTATCACAGGTAACCGAGATTCACTTCTGGTGTATTTTATTTCGCACCCACATTCTGTTAAAACTCTGGCCACTTCATAGTAAATATCTATTTATTGTGCATTTTAGTAACTGTCCCTCCTCTCAGAAGGTTTTCTTTTTTAATGATACTGGTTGTCACGCCCAACCGTACTTGAGCTATATTATAATACCTTAATATATTCTTCTTTAGCTTCACGACCATGTTTGATAATAATAAAGGTTTTTAATGCATGAATATTATTAGTAATTCAGTTGGAAGCCTCTTATCCCTCCCCGTTTATAATAAGTGAGGAATATGTCTAGTAGACATATGGTTGCTACCGCAGTATCCCAGTAAAAATCCATTTATTGCCTAATCCAACGATCTAGCTTCTTTCTGATTACCAAACGTTCCCAGTAACACTTTGAGAGTGCGATTGTTTCGTTAGACAACACTGTTGCAGTTTGTGTATTTCCAACACTTGACATACCTCTTAAAATTTAGTACCTCAATACTTATATAACTAAACAAGCGACTCAAATTTCAAGTACTACTCTAGCTACTGTTTTGGTATCCATACTTTCCACAGGGATCGCTTCACGGTGCTTCATAAAGTGATCAAGTATAAATAAAATATAATTATTTCCCCGATCAGTTTCTTGCACTGGCGCACCGATGCCGATTCCCACTATCCAGTTAGAGTAACCTTGTTTCATATTCGCAAAAGGTGGGTTCGGGTTTTATTTTGAGCTTTAAGTCATTTGACAAGCCTAACAAGATCTGACATGATTCCATACATATTTCCTTTATTTGGAAACCAATATCTACGTTTGACGGCCTCCATACCCCAAGTCTTCATGGACTTCGCCCAAGACATGGACCATATGACTGTACGATTGACTGATGTGCACTGGCTATCCCTGACTTTGATAGGGATCTATGATTTGTTCGATAGTCATTGAGCCAACTGCCGGATGATTTGGTTAGAGCTCAG